GTCGAAAGCACATTTCATAGAAGCTGAGGGTTTATCAATATAAGTAAGTATGGTAATGAAACGGAAGATTTGATCTGTCGTACAGTTCTACATTCGTAGTCATTATTCACAGCAGTCATAGAAAAGTTAGAAATTGAAATTAGTAAAAAGCGTGTGGTAAACTACTACAGTAAACGAATACCTACCATTCAGGTATTATTGAGCAACTAACTGATAACTCCATTTACCATTCGCTCAATTCCATTGATCAAAAACTGAGATTGTTCAAAGAAGCACAAAATAAATCTCAATTTGCATATTACGTACATACATAAACTTCGGCTCGTTCATGTTCGACTAACGTTGTTCCAAGAAAGCCGGCGTTAATCTAGGCCCCTTTTAAACGGAGAAACAGAGCAGTTCCCATTAACGAAAACCGGAAGCGTCCTTTTAAGTACAATGCGAGTTCGCTCGCGTGCCTCGTCTCCACGCATCGTGGTCCGACTTTTATCCTCCGCACACGCCAGACACAAGTCCGCTTCGCTCCATTTATATGCTATTTACATTATCTTTTGTCTTAAGTGCTGCGCTATGTTTCAACTTTTTTTTTTTAATTCTGCTTAGTAGTTTTTATTGGATCATTAACAGAGTAAATTAATGTGCAACATACAATATGTACCTATATTATACACAGCACAGTATTATGGATGGTAGAATATCTTAATAAAATTGAAGAGAAATTGGTTTCTTCTTTTGTCGAAATCATACAAACAAGACAAGGAAATACAACAAACCAATAATGATAAAGAAAATCAAATAAATGAACATAGAACAGGAAAAAATTACATCTGCTGCGAAAAGTGACCTATTCAGCTCAAGGCAACATTCTGACGTATAGACACAAATCCAATTTACCAGCAGAAAATGGTGGTTCTACCCAGATATCAAAGAAATTCAGACCGATAAGGCAATTAAGGATTGAAATTAGAAGAACAACAAACCACCCTAGAATACTGAAAAAAGGAAAACAAGCCATGCTATCAACACTGAAGATACTGCTCAACCGTACAGTTTTTGAATAATCATACAGTTTCCTATGGCTCAACCTATAAAAAATTCTGAAATACCAGAGAAATTTAACCTCAGAGGAGTCACATTATATGCGGACATTTATCCCTTTGAGTGTGACACTTGCAAAGTAAAATTTAAACGAAAAGGGAATTTGAAGAGTCACATGATAATGCATACGAATATTCAAGCTCTTGAATGTGACACTTGCAAAGTAAAATTTATACGAAAATTGGATTTGAAAAGTCACAAATTAACACACTCGGATATTTATTCTTTTGAATGTAACACTTGTAAAGCAAAATTTAAACAAAAAGGTCATTTGAAGACTCACCTAGAGATAATTGAAAAATTCAAGAGACAAAAATGTTGTAATTTTAGTGTGTCTATCTGAATAATCAATAAAAATCGAACAAAAACAAACTACAAAGTGATATTTTTGTATGCACAAAAACAACCGACTTGGTCGCTGGGTACGCCCCTGGAAATTCTGGATCAAATCTAATTGATCCAGTAGATGTCTGATAATGGTTGAAATAAACCGAGAAAATTTCATTGAAATCGGCTAAAGCTTTTTTGAGCTATTAATAAAAAACTATTTTTTTTTTTTAAACTTAACACCCTGTATCTTGGAAACCAAGCGTTTCCGGACCTATATCCATGGAAACTTTTTCAATTATTTTCATGAATACTATCTGCCCTCGAAGTTTGTAACGTCTTCTCGGAAACACCCTGTATAAATGGGAGTAGGTATATCTCAATATGGATAATAACAGGATAATGAAGAGATTCAAGTAAAATTTAAACGGAAAGGGAATTTGATGAGTCACATGATAATGCATTCGGCTATTCAACCTCTTGAATATGACACTTGCAAAGTAAAATTTATACGAAAATCGGATTGGAAGAGTCAAAAATCAACACACTCGGATATTTACCCTTTTGAATGTAACACTTGTAAAGCAAAATTTAAACAAAAAAGTCATTTGAAAACTCACCTATTAACACCCTTGGATATTTATCCTTTCGAATGTGACCTCAACATAGAGATGATAGGACTATGACATCAGAAACTACCTTTCCATCTCCAGTAGGTATTCATGAAAATCATCATCTGATGACATCAGAAACTACCTTTCCATCTCCAGTATTCATGAAAATCATCATCTGATATCGTTAGCTACCAATCTTTTGAAGAGACTGGAGTTCTGACATGGTTTTTACTCCTGACCATCTCCTCACTAATATAAATGGGATTATATCTTAATATGGATAATAACGGGATAATGAAGAGATTCAAGTGAAATTTAAACGAAAAGGGAATTTGAAGAGTCACATGATAATGCATTCGGATATTCAACCTCTTGAATGTGACACTTGCAAAGTAAAATTTATAGGAAAATCGGATTTGAAGAGTCAAAAATCAACACACTCGGATATTTTTCCTTTTGAATGTAACACTTGTAAAGGAAAATTTGAACAAAAAGGTCATTTGAAGACTCACCTATTAACACACTTAGATATTTATCCTTTCGAATGTGACCTCAACATAGAGATGATAGGACTATGACATCAGAAACTACCTTTCCATCTCCAGTATTCATGAAAATCATCATCTGATATCGATAGCTACCAATCTTTTGAAGAGACTGGAGTTCTGACATGGTTTTTACTCCTGACCATCTCCTCACTAATATAAATGGGATTATATCTTAATATGGATAATAACGGGATAATGAAGAGATGCAAGTGAAATTTAAACGAACAGGGAATTTGAAGAGTCACATGATAATGCATTCAGATACTCAACTTCTTGAATGTGACACTTGCAAAGTAAAATTTATACGAAAATCGGATTTGAAGAGTCAAAAATCAACACACTGGGATATTTTTCCTTTTGAATGTAACACTTGTAAAGCAAAATTTGAACAAAAAGGTCATTTGAAGACTCACCTATTAACACACTTAGATATTTATCCTTTCGAATGTGACCTCAACATAGAGATGATAGGACTATGACATCAGAAACTACCTTTCCATCTCCACTATACATGAAAATCATCATCTGATATCGATAGCTACCAATCTTTTGAAGAGACTGGAGTTCTGACATGGTTTTTACTCCTGACCATCTCCTCACTTATATAAATGGGAGCATATCTTAATATGGATAATAACAGGATAATGAAGAGATTCAAGTAAAATTTAAACGAAAAGGGAATTTGAAGAGTCACATGATAATGCATTCGGATATTCAACCTCTTGAATGTGACACTTGCAAAGTAAAGTTTATACGAAAATCGGATTTGAAGAGTCGAAAATCAACACATTCGGATTTTTATCCTTCTGAATGTAACACTTGTAAAGCAAAATTTGAACAGAAAGGTCATTCGAAGACTCACCTACTAACACACTTAGATATTTATCCTTTCGAATGTGACCTCAACAGAAAGATGATAGGATTATGACATCAGAAACTACCTTTCCATCTCCAGTATTCATGGAAATCATCATCTGATATCGATAGCTACCAATACTTTGAAGAGACTGGGGTTCTGACATGGTTTTCACTCCTAACCATCTCCTCACTATCACTAATATAAATGGGAGTATATCTTAGTATGGATAATAACAGGATAATGAAGAGATTTAAGTAAAATTTAAGCGAAAAGGGAATTTGAAGAGTCACATGATAATGCATTCGGATATTCAACCTCTTAAATGTGACACTTACAAAGTAAAATTTATACGAAAATCGGATTTGAAGAGTCACAAATCAACACACTTGGATATTTATCCTTTTAAATGTAACACTTGTAAAGCAAAATTTAAACAAAAAGGTCATTTAGAGATGATAGGACTATGACATCAGAAACTACCTTTCCATCTCTAGTATTCATGAAAATCATCATCTGATATCGATAGCAATCTTTTGAAGAGACTGGAGTTCTGACATGCTTTTACTCCTGACCATCTCCTCACTAATATAAATGGGAGTATATCTTAATATGGATAATAACAGGATAATGAAGAGATTCCACTAAAAAATCCTATCTACATTCAAGATAAATCTAAAACATTCAATATTATAGTCTATTACTATAACGGAAAATCATATAAAGTTGATTACAAGTATGTTCGACAAAAATCGACCGATCAAGTGGCTCATTCCAACTAGGTAATCTATCGATTACATTATAACTGCCAATAAAATGAAGAAGCTCATGCTTGTTCAATGATGATGAGAGTGCGGCAATGTTTATATCGTGTCTACCTTGAAATTGAATAGACCGTAGATTTTTTTCAAGTACCCCCATAAAAATATTCATTGCTCAGTGGGAAGTTGAATTCGTTTTACGATTTAAAAAAAAAAAAACAGCTCGAGCTGCCAATACAACCTTGTAATCATTATTAATTAAGCACATCGCGAAGAAAACTGACCCAATCAATTACTGTCATCGGGTGACAAATATTTACGACTACCATTCTCCATATAGAGAAATACCGAGAGCGCGATCTGGTTCTCTTTTTAACTTTTAAAGTAGTACCATCGAGTTTATACGTGGACCAGTCCGGTTATGTACCCACCTATTGGCCTTTAGCGTGTTAAAGGTAAAAACGTGTAGTCGGCATTTTGCCTGTCACTTTGGTACCATGTATATCACTTTATGTTGACGATTAGGAGTCTCTAGAATCTTTGAAGTAGGAAAAAATAAAACATAGGGCAATGAAACAATATAAGTAGCCCAGGCAATAATCCTATTATTTTATTATGATTAGGTACTATGAAAGCCATATAAATAAACTATAGGAAATTAATAGTAATCGCCATAAATCTTTACCAAAGTACCGCCTCGGGATGTCTACGTGCACGCACCTGGTATTTTATTGCAATAGTTAACTATACAAGGAGAAACACAACAATTTCTAAAAATTATATTTTTTTTTTCTAGAATTTTCGAGACCAAAAAATCGACGGCAGCGGCCTACCACTGCTTACGGAAGATCACCTGACGAACACCATAGGGATGAAACTGGGTCCGGCTTTGAAATTACGTTCGATTTTGGGAAAAAAATTGGGCAGTTGCAACGTGTGCCTGCACTGCACTCATTGTCACAATAATAATCCAGAAAATCCAGTGAATATGGGCAGTAACACTTCGGATTCGGGAGGAAATTCCTAAACTTGTTTGTTTGTGAATATTTTTTTTTGTAAATACTTTTGTGTATATTCTGTATTTCAGACTCAATTACAATCAAATATAAATAATTAATTCAAAAAAAAAAAAAAGGAAAAACGTCCATGTGTGTTGAGCTCTCATATTTTTAATGTGTTTAATAATTTTAGTGGATTATTAATTTTATTTATGAAGTACATACTTAATACAAAGTTTGCTCAAAATGTGTCTTAAATAAATACAGGGTGGGAATAATAACAAACTTAATTTGAAATTAAAGTTTTTATTTGGGGTCGTTGTTGTTAGACCACCCTGTTTGATGTATAATACTTTATCTAGTGACCTAAGTATAAAAACGACAATAAAATGCAATATAATTTAATTTAATTTTTATATAAATTATTTGATATTCATAAATGATAAAAATATAAAATGACTTTATAAGAATTACATTATTAATTTGGTTTTTATGTAGATGTAGAAGGATCTTGATTTTTGGGTTTTTTCTTGGAATCTCTCTACCAAATCCCATGCAGAGCAATTAATTTGATGTTAAAGAATGGATCCTTCCCTTATTTTCTCCTACTTCCTATATTTTCTGCTTCGTAGTTTAGTTAAAATTATTTTTCTTAGAATCCTGTAGGCTCCAAACTATTCTGGCTGAAAGCAGCTTTTTCCCAGAGAGCACTTGGAAATCTCAAAGACTTCTACAAACGACATTCAAGGCGTCTTTAAGACGTCTGCTTACGTCTTCAAGGCGTCCTAAAGACATCTTAAAGACGTCGTATGTTACTACCTACTAACTAATATTCCGTTACTATAGCTCATTTAAAACTTTCAGCTTTTGTCTATTCCAGGCTCTCTGGAATAATCTCTGGGCTGGGACTCTGTAACGGATAGAGGTTGTTTATCCCTATCGCTATGGTACTTTTCGAAATCAATAGAGAGTGGACGTCAATGGAGATAGAGAAAATACCTATCTCTATTCGTTATAGAGTCCCAGCACTCCCAGCCCTCTAAGGTTTTAGAGTTTTTCAAAATCCTGCTGGAAAGTGTTTAGGATTGTTCTAAATGGCTTATTGAAGTTCTGAAGTGTTCTAACTTAACTTGGCTTGGAAAGTTCTGGAGCATTGTAGAAGTTTTTCAATATTTTCTAAATTGTTCCGACAGATTTTTAAGTATTTTGTAGCTCTATCGAATCACCAAAGTGTTCTAAACTGGTTCGGAAGAGTTCTGGAAGGTTTCCAGTTCTAAATTGAATCCTAAATTGCTTTGAAACAACTCTGAAGTTTCTGAATTGTTCCAAAATACTCCTGAAAATTCTGATTTAGATTTGAACTGTTTGGATGCCTTTTAGAGGTTTAAAGTTCTACAGCAATTTAAATTCGCTTTTGAACGCCTCCTGAAAGCCGTTTTGTAACTTTTAACCTGAATCCTAAGAATCTGGCGCTTTTCTGGAGATTCTAGAGTGTTTGAGTGTTTTGGAGCGTCCTAAAATGTTCATTCAAATTTCTGGATTGTTCTAAAATGCTTTTGGAAACTGTGAATCCGTTTTTGAATGTTTTGGAGCCCACAATAATTTTGGAAATTCTGAATTAAATTATTGTGATTAAAAAGTATTTTAGAACTTCCAAATGGCTTATTAAAGTTCTAAAGTGTTCTGTAGCATTTTAAATGGTTTCCAGTGACTTCTAAATTGAATGAGAAACGAATTCTGTGAGGAGTTTCTGTAGAAATCTTAAAGACGTCCCTAAGATGTCCACAAACGACACATTCAGGACGTCGTATGTTACAAAACCCAACGTCTTTCAGACGTTTGTCTTAAGACGTTTTTAGAACTAAGACATTCTAAAGACGTCTTCAGGACATCTCGTTGAAGACGTAGTACCTACCAAATAGTGTGGCTCAGTTCTCTCAGTCTTTGAGATGTGAATTAATTGCAGACGTTCGGACGTATGCAGACCTAAAAAAGTCGTCTTTGACTTTGTGTGCTGTCTGGGTCGCTTCTCCAAATTTCAAATTCCAGAGAATTTTCATTTGAATAAATTTCAGATTTTTCTTATATCTTTTAATGAATAATAAAAACGCAAACATAAATTATTATTATCTTTTTTTATCTTCTAACGGTGGAAACTATAGCAATTAAAAATCATAAATTATCTCAATCCCTTGGCGTCTGCGTGTCTGTTTAAAGATTAAAATAGCAAACCTGGCTCGATATTCACCCTAATTCGCCCTTGTACCGTATCCAGACAATTCAACGCGCATTATATCGATTTTTCCAGACAGTCAACCCAGTTTATATTGTGTTTTTGCCTGTGTCCCGAAATAGTTTAGTGTGTTTGTGTCATATTTTCGCTAGATGAAAAATATGAGAACAAAAAGCAGAAGTAGATTTTGAAAAAAGAAACATACACAAAATTTAATTATGCCAGAAACCTATAACGACCAGCACCAGCTTATCTTATCCCTGCTGTGTATAGGAGGATTAATAGCTTCAGCAATTTTCTATGCCAAATTGGGTACTTCCAATGGGTACCTTGATGATATCAATAATATAACTGAAACACCTGACAACTTAACACAAAACGCGGGAAGCAATGCAACAAACTCCACCAAGGTAAGTACCTAGTAATTTTTCAAGCCAAAGTAAGTATTCCAGGAAATATTTTGGCAGGTGAAATTGGCAATCAAACCACAGCCAGCTTGCCCTCCTCAAGACAAATTCTTAGAACTGAGCGCTCTATGCGATGAAGTTTTAGTTGCGAAATTCAGCTGCACACCTGAAGATATAATGAATCCGGCCAAGCATAAAATTCCAAAGTTTTATTACCAGCAACAGTCAGTGAAGAATAATTCCAGTAACGAGACACAAAGTAAGAAATTTCTTTATATAGTATAGTTTGTTGGTAATGAAGATAGATGACATCTCAATGCATGTTCTAAAGAAAGTAAGATCATACCAAACTTATGTAATGTAGGTATCTAAAGTTACTTTCCTACTTGGTATTCACTCTACAGAATTTTTAGAGTAAATTTTCCAGAATCTATAGCTAAAGTAAATTTTCCGAAGAGCAAAAGTAACCTTACAACTTGGAATTCGCAGCTTAAAAGTAACTCTTCTAGGACTTCAACCATGTGTTCCAAGTATCTAAAGTTACTTTTCAAATCTCAACATTCGCAGCACAAAGTGACTCTTCCAGGATTCCCAAAGTAATTTTTTCGGAATCTAAAGCTGAAGTAGCTTTTTCAAAGAGCTTAAGTAACTTTCCAACTTGGGAGTCGCAGCTAAAAGTAACTTTTTCAGCATTTGTTCCAAATATCCAAAGTTACTTTCCAACTTGGCATTTATACCTTGAACTGATCCTTCCAAGATCCCCAGAGTAAATTTCTTAGAATTTAAAGTTGAAGTAACTTTTTCAAAGAGCTAAAGTAGCCTTGTAATTTGGGATTCGCAGCTTAAAGTAACTCTTCTAGGACTTCAACTATTTGTTCCAAGTATCTGAAGTTACTTTTCCAATTCAACATTTACAGCACGAAGTGACTCTTCCAGGATTTCCAAAGTAATTTTTTCAGAATCTGAAGCTAAAGTAGCTTTTTCAAAGAGCTAAAGTAACTTATTTCCAACTTGGGAGTCGCAGCTAAAAGTAACTTTTCCAGCATTTGTTCCAAGTATCCAAAGTTACTTTCCAACTTGGCATTTATACCTTGAACTGATCCTTCCAGGATTCCCAGAGTAATTTTCTCCGAATTTAAAGTTGAAGTAACTTTTTCAAAGAGCTAAAGTACCTAGCCTTGTAACTTGGGATTCGCAGCTTAAAGTAACTCTTCTAGGACTTCAATTATTTGTTCCGAGTATCTGAAGTTACTTTTCCAATTCAACATTCAAAGCACAAAGTGACTCTTCCAGGATTTCCAAAGTAATTTTTTCAGAATCTGAAGCTAAAGTATAGCTTTTTCAAAGAGCTAAAGTAACTTTCCAACTTGGGAGTCGCAGCTAAAAGTAACTTTTTCAGCATTTGTTCCAGATATCCAAAGTTACTTTCCAACTTGGCATTTATACCTTGAACTGATCCTTCCAGGATTCCCAGAGTAATTTTCTCAGAATTTAAAGTTGAAGTAACTTTTTCAAAGAGCTAAAGTACCTAGCCTTGTAACTTGGGATTCGCAGCTCAAAAGTAACTCTTCTAGGACTTCAACCATGTGTTCCAAGTTCCAAGTATCTAAAATTACTTTTCAAATCTCAACATTCACAGCACAAAGTGACTCTTCCAAGATTTCCAAAGTAATTTTTTCAGAATCTGAAGCTAAAGTATAGCTTTTTCAAAGAGCTAAAGTAACTTTCCAACTTGGGAGTCGCAGCTAAAAGTAACTTTTTCAGCATTTGTTCCAAATATCCAAAGTTACTTTCCAACTTGGCATTTATACCTTGAACTGATCCTTCCAAGATCCCCAGAGTAAATTTCTTAGAATTTAAAGTTGAAGTAAACTTTTTCAAAGAGCTAAAGTAGCCTTGGAACTTGGGATTCGCAGCTTAAAGTAACTCTTCTAGGACTTCAACTATTTGTTCCAAGTATCTGAAGTTATTTTTCCAATTCAAAATTTACAGCACGAAGTGACTTCCAGGATTCCCAAAGTAATTTTTTCAGAATCTGACGCTAAAGTAGCTTTTTCAAAGAGCTAAAGTTACTTATTTCCAACTTGGGAGTCGCAGCTAAAAGTAACTTTTCCAGCATTTGATCCAAGTATCCAAAGTTACTTTTCAACTTGTCATTTATACCTTGAACTGATCCTTCCAAGATCCCCAGAGTAAATTTCAAAGAGCTAAAGTTACTTATTTCCAACTTGGGAGTCGCAGCTAAAAGTAACTTTTCCAGCATTTGTTCCAAGTATCCAAAGTTACTTTCCAACTTGGCATTTATACTTTGAAGTGACCTTTCCAGGATTTCCAAAGTGAATTTTCCTGGATCTGAAGCTAAAGTGGCTTTTTCAAAGAGTTAAACTTGCCTTGTGACTTGCGGTAAAACAAACTCCGGTGACCCAAGCAAATATACCACCTGAAACTACATAAGCGTCAGTTCTTGAATCGTGCATTTAACGGATTGGAGATACTAAGCTTCGGAGAGAAATACCTGTCCCAGGTTCCAGGCGAAAATCTCTCATACAGAACTACCCGTCCAAGGTACAGTACAGTTCTAAGAGTAATAGAGATTACCGGTGCAAGGTTCCCGACGAAACCCCTATTGCAGGAAAAGATTAACCTGTCTCAGTGAAGCTTGAATAATTGATTTTTACCTTCTGGTATAATTCGCGACCCTACAAGAACTGACCCCTACTGTGGTTACGGCGGATTAGCTTACCTCGGACGGTTCTGGTGGTGATGTTGCTATTGCTGCTGTCAGGTCAGCTGGCTTTTCGGAGACCGGTTGAAGACTGTGGTTTACCAGCAAATTCTGCTCAATTTATAGCCGGAAAGATGGGTCAGGACCGCGACGGGGTACACGGAAATATGCAAATTAGCTGATACCGGCCGAAACTCTGCTGGGATCGGTAGATTCCAGGCAAGGTCACGCGAAATCATGATAATGTATTTATTATTTAAAAATAATATGAGGAGGATTTTAATTAATACCGCGGTGAATATAGAAAATTAGGTCGAAGCGAGAGGCGCACTTATTTTATGAAAAATACTGTACCTTCGTTACACAACTATTCGCTTCAATCCATATATCTGAAGTTATTTTTCCAACTTAACATTTTACAGCACGAAGTGACTCTTCCACGATTTCCAAAGTACTTTTTTCAGAATCTGAAGCTAAAGTAGCTTTTCTAATGAGCTAAAGTAACCATCCAACTTGAGAGTCGCAGCATTTGATTCAAGTATCTAAAGTCACTTTCCAACTTGGCTTTATACTTTGAAGTGACCCTTCCAGGATTTCCAAAGTGAATTTTCGTGGATCTGAAGTCTGAAGCTAAAGTAGCTTTTTCAAACAGCTAAGCTTGCCTTGTGACTTGGGATTCGTAGCTTAAAGTAACTCTTTTAGGGCCGTTTGCACCGACCATTTTAAGGGAGGTTTAACGATATTCAACGTTTAAAGTGACATATTTACATATACATGTAAATATGTCACTTTAAGCGTTGTTTATCGTTAAACCTGCTTTAAAATGATCGGTGCAAATGGCCATTAGGACTTTAATCATTTGCTCCAAGTATCTGAAGTTACTTTTCTAACTCGATATTCACAGCACGAAGTGACTTTTCCAGGATTTCCAAAGTCATTTTTTCAGAACCTAAAGCTGAAGTAGCTTTTTTAAAGAGCTAAATAGTAACCTTCCCACTTGGGATTCGCATTTTAAAGTAAGTTTTCCAGAATTTGTTTTAAGTACCTATTTATAATATTTTTCCAGTGAGGATTATGAGTGTCCATATCTCAAGAATTCAATTCCATTTTAATTAATCCTTCTTTGTGCCTGCTTGTCTGTTTTTGGAAGAATGAAAAAGAGATCTCGACTTATTTTAAAGTAACTTGGCTTTCCATTTTGACTTGTATCCTTTCCTATTCGGATTGCAGACTACTTTTGGCATCTGAACCTGGAAAGCTTTCCTTTTTCTTTTGAAAGTCACTTATTACTCAGAATGATATTCATTAATATTCCAAGATTTGAAGATTTTCTTCTTACAGAAGGCAAACAACTAACAATCAGTGTAACTTTACCATTAAGTTAAATGATGACTTCACAACATTATACTTAGCTGAAGACATATACGCATAGGTTTACATGCACTACAATTTTCACAATCTTTCTTTTCCAGATACAATAGTAAACTATATAATAGCTGCTCTACTTATCACCTCTCTGGGAGCTGCCCTGCTCGAATTCTACAGAGCAAAAATCTCTCCGACCCCCAGCGTCGATAAGCGCGGTTCCAAGACGCTCCTGAACCGCAAATGCTCTCTGGCCGATCTCACTGTGCTGAAGCACCACCGCAAAGAACTGGTGCGCAGAGAGAGCATCCTGGAAAGTCAATTCGAGGAGGGCGACTCGACGCAGAACCACTTCCAGGGTAGGCGGAATTCCACCCGCCCACAACTGCGGCTCGACTAATTTGAAGGTAGTTAGGCACGCGGTTGATGGGTGATTCTATGTATGTGCGTGTGTGTTTGCAATTTGTTTTAATGCCATTGTGTAGTATTATTGTAAATGCTAATAGTTTTGTTACAATACACTCCACAATACAATCAACATTTTTAGGTTCGAAACCATTTCCGCTGCTCCGTAGATGTTCGTTTCCAGTTTCACTACCATCTGACGGCGCATCGGTGCAGGGAGGATTCGCAGGATCTCTGGCGCGCAGGAAACTTTCAATTGCCGAAGGCGGTCGGAGATTGTCGATAGTCAATGACGGAGGCAGTAGGAAGTTATCGATAGTTAATGACGAAAGCATTTTATGGCGTAGAGGTAGCTTGGTTGGAGGCGAGGACTCTTCGCCCGAGAGAAAAGTGCATCATTCCAGGCTTGTGCATAGGCACTGATTTGTCTTTTTCAAATCCAACATAAGTATATCTGATAATAACCCTTCAGTAACGAATTTAGAATGTGTATTTCTAAACGTGAAGTTTTTATATTTTTATTGTCAATGAAATTTATTTTTTATAAGAACCCTTTTTGATGTCTATACCTACCTATTATGTACTACCTAATAGCACAAGAATGGTCAATATTTCTTGAAGATGCATGTTGATATAGGTATTTCTCGAGTCTTTCTATAAATGCTTAATATTTTTCTCAACAATATAGTGACAATATCAACTAGAGTCTATGCACGATAACTTTATATTTTTTTAAAGCCTGAACATCGAATGAATTTAGATCAAAAGAGTCCTCTATCCAATCAAAAAAATAGAACACAAACTCATTTTTAGAATAATTTTAAGTGATGTTTCTAGTCATGTTAGTTTTAAGTAAATTAATAATATTGTAAGTAAATTTTAAACTATTATTTGAGTTTTTTTCTTCTATTCTAAATACCAATAGTTATTGCATTCTTCGTCGTTGGTACTACCCGGCGACTCTATTGTTGGGAACTATAAAGTTGATGGTACTAGTGAGGGCAAGGTCATTGCTACGTCCCTACTAACACTTACTGTTGCACTTACCCAAACAGGCTCGTTTCATAACTTTCAATTTTTGTCCATTCCAGGCGCTAGACGACTCTCTGTATAATTCTGAGGTTTTTAATTTGTTCTGAAGCCTTCCAAAATGATGCTTGAACGTGTTTTGGAACGTTCTAAAATGGCTCATTGAAGTTTTAAAGGGTTCTAAATTGGTTCGAAGAGTTCTAAAAGATTTCCAATTAATTCTAAATTGAATCCTAATTGTTTTGAAGTAGGTAACTTTGAAGTTTTTAAATTATTCCAAAATGCTCCTGAAAATTATAGTTCTATAGCAATTCAAATTCGCTCTTGAACGCCTTCTGAAAGGCGTTATCTAGCTTAAATAATAATAAAAATTTGCATTTAAAGTTTAATCTAAAATTTCCATAGTCGTAAGCCTAAATAATTTGACTATCTTCTGGTACATCGAAAATAATTGTATAGTTTTGAACACGGTTTCGTACTAGCGATAGTGAGTGTCTTATCGCATCTAGAGCAGCCACAGCAATGATAGCGGAGGCCATAATAATGAAGGCAATGTCCAGTAAAATCGGGACGAATGATCTAGTATCGCGTATTCTGGAATAAATAAAATATACATTGAATCAAGGGGTTGTGCTAATAGATTTGTTCTCACACCTGAATCTGCAACAAACAAGATTTTTCAATCAAAATTAAAACTTCATTATTACATCCTTTTTTTTGCTCATTTTTCAAAATACACTTGCTCTGAATAATATACTTGAGCGGGATTAGAACAGGTTTGACTATCAAGCGACAATCAGAAATTCCTGTATCGTGAATAGAATACATCAGTAATCTATTGTTCGTCGATTTTTAACTGATACTTGCGGTATGAGGAGCGAGGGGGTGTTTCATATGGCAAAAACAGGTGTAACGTCAGGTAACCATCGGCGTTCTAATGTAGGGAGCCACCAGCTCACATTCCATCCGAGTATCAGATTAAAATCGACGAACAATATGTAAGAATGTTTTCTATATTGAACAAGTTCATTTGCTGAAAACCTGTTTCTTATAACTTTGAGAACAAACCTAATGTTGCTAATTAGAAGTGAAGATTTCAAGTTAAACAAAATCATTATACTTACAAGTCCCTTGCAATAATGGCATCCATAAATTAATATATCCTGAATTAATTATGCAAAAATCTCCGAGAATCTTAGGTTCGCTTTGTCATAATATTCGTTGTCAAAAATTGACGTTTTTGAATAGCAAAATTCAAAATTTTTGATGTCTCAATAAAAAGCCATCCATGAAATTTCTGTATGATCTGGCAAAAGGTTTCATAAAGGAATGCTAATAGTAGATTTGTGTAATTTGTATCAAAAATTATATAGTAGGTTCCATTCATAGGATATTATAGGTAACTGGTGAAAGTATATTTATTTATAAAAAAAAAATATATGTATTGAAAAAATAATAAAGCATCTTTCCTTACAAACTACACAGCAGCATTCCATCCAGAAAACATCCTGCCCAATAAATTCGGATCCATAGCGTGATCAATTAAGCAATCAACTTGTTCTTCCACTGACAAAGTTTCTTTGCTACTCAATCTAAATAATATAAAATATAGTAGAAAATAACCCAAACTGATTTTGGTTACCTTGCTCTTAGATCATATGGGGCATCTCCTTGTACAAACTTAACATAAGTCTCAAAATATTTCGGTTTTGACACATAAAAACTTGAAGATTTCAAATCTTCCACAAGAATGGTAGTCGAGGACGCACCTTCCAACTTTCGCTTAGCCTGCTCGATTTTTCGTAACGGGTACCATTCGTGAGTATCAACTGCATCAGCCATTTGGAACCTATACATATAATGATTAATAGATATTTTGACATTATATTAATTGAGTACTTTTTAGCATTTTCCAGCCAATCAACTGAAGGTTCTTGTATGAAAACGTTCATAGTAGCCAATAAGGGAGCTTTATTGTTCCTCAACGAATTCAAACAGTCAATCATGACGTGTTTAAACGAGCCTTTTTCTGCCAGAGGCTCCATTAGATCTACTATATGCGGCGTTAATCTAAAACAAATAATTTTTGCACCGTTTACCTAATGAGTTTGATATTGTCACCTTATTGGTACCAATTCTGGTATGGGCAATATTTGTGTAGCTGTACCAAAAGCGTGCCCAAAATCTATACCTAAGACTTTACCATTTCTGGTGCACACTTTTGTGTTTTGTAAATGCCTATCGCCGATTCCCAAAATCCATTGACAAGCGCAAATTGTGGCGTAACTTTTAATAAAATTGTCCCTAAATGCTATAAAACTTTCTGTTGTAAGACTCACAGACCAAATTGAAGCCCTACAGTAATTGTTATTATAAAAAAAATAAACATAGAAGAAAAAGTATTAGGTACCTCAAAGCATTTAAAGGAAGTTCATTAACCAATCCACGGTAGAACGGTATAATCTTATTTCTATCTTTCTTCAAAGCCGTCATGCCATATTTATCAGTGTTATTGTCATGCCGCTCCAAAAATTTCTCATATTTACTGTAAAGAGAATCAAAAGTGCTTTGCCTTTTCTTTTCCGGCAATGCACGTTTTATAAAATCCTCCAACGACACTGTATTTTCCACCCACTGAATAATACCAAGGCTGGATGTTAACGGTATGACTTGATAAGTCAAAACGTGATGGGTTTTATTGTCGCTGGCTAAAGCATTGTTCATTAACATAAATAATTGTTCTATTCTTTGATCTTGACGTATATCCTCTCCGAATTTGATTAGGAACGGGTATTCTTTGCTGTCCATGCCTACCATGGTCACTTTTATGGGTCTACGTAGAGAAGACATGACGTTCACCTATAACCAATTGTGAATTGAGTGTATGTGTAGATTTTTTTGGCTTTCAATTACCGAATCACAAAATCCAGAAATCCTAATATGATGTTGTACCAAAGGCAATTTTTCGCCTGTATACTGTCCAGGTATTTCCAAATCTAAATTCAACCTGCCAGCTGAAAAGTTGGCCAGCCAAGGACAATAATCTTTCAGTAGTTTGGATTGTTGAGGCCTCCTTTGGCCTGGTGGTGGATTTAAAATCTGATGACGTTTTTTGGTTATGTTTGCCACTAGATCTTTGATTTTAGGTAATGTTAATCGATTGGTGATTTTTTGGAATTCGTTTTTGAAGTCTTTCACAATGCTTTTGTACATATTTCCTTGCATATTGCTCGAGTCTCTGGAGTCTGAGTCTTCAGTAAAGAAAAATTCAAATAGGTCATTTTTCTTTTGCATCATACTATCAATATCTTGGCAATTGAACAGTTTTTTAATATAATATTCCAGGGTAACTAATGGGACGCTTACTTTGGATAATGCTAAAAAATATTTACTTTAACCAATAATCTTCAGATAACCCGGAAAAAATAATTACCAGTTAAAAACTTATCAACAACAGGATCACTTAAAAGCAAGCGATCTAATTCTTCTATTAAATTTTCATCAACATTGGAATAAGTTTCTTTGCTCAATCTATAAGAATACATTATAGCTTGAGGATAAGTCCTGGCAATCCTCAAAATGATTTCGGACAAAGCTTCAACTTTTGGACAATCAGCGTTAGCTAAAAATTTCCTCATTTAAAACCTGAAAAACCTTAGTTAATCAAATATTAACCCAATAATTGTGGTATCCATCCTAAAAACATCCAAGTAGGTATATCAGCTGTTTCATTCAAAAATATGTCTTTTAATTCGTCTTGCAAAGATTTTTTCAGAAGGATGCATGGAAATAGTTGTCGGGCTTCTTTAGACCCCAATGTCATTGCTCTCAAAACGTACAAAAGAAAATCGGCTTCTTGATCTTCATCGTGTTGTATGAAATAAGCTAGTTTTACTAGGGCTTTGGTTTTGGCTTCAATGATACTGTCATGAATAAAGAAGAAGTTTTTGATTAATTTATTGGCTGTTTTTTTACTAAGTTTAAGGGCCGGTAATTCAATGTAATCTTAAATTCAAGACTTATCTACGACACCCTTGACGTTAAGCTGAACTTGAAATCTGGTAGTGGCAATCATTGTACATTTTTTTTGGGAATCTCATAGTAATCAATCTGGAATCCATGGAAATTGCGTGGAAGTCCCTGGGAATAACATGGGAGTCGCTAGGAATCCCCTAGGACTCCATTGGCAATCACTAAGAAGCATGTGGTAATCATTGGGAATATCATGTGAGTCTAATCCAGAAATTGCATATCATATTTACATTTTAGACGATACAGCGTACCGGTCAGTTGTGTACTTGCCTTTAAGAGTAAGTTTTAGCTGTGTTAGGCAACACTGAGTGCTAGACAATTTGAAATGAATTTGATATCCCAAAGAGTTTCCCAATAACTGAGCCGATAACTGAATCCGAGACTACGAAGAGTTTAGAACTTGAAGAAAAAGAACAAGATGAAGTTTGAGGTCTGTTGTCACAGAAATCACAAACCAGTCAAAAGGTTTTTGATTGGTACAAATCGCCAACAACCAATTTTCTGACTATTTTCAACCAATGAAATTCGTTCTGACTGGTTTGTGATTTCTGTGAGAACAGGCCTAAAGTATGACAATGTTGTAGAGTAGATCATGGCTGGCAGCATTTCTTAAGGATGTCTTACTGTACCTAGGCCTATTAGGGTCTATTTATTCAAATTCAGTTTTCAAACAGTTTAAGGGTTAATTTTTTCGCAACATTTTTGGCGCCCAACGTGGGGGCCGTTGCGCAACGCTCCAAACACAAAAAACACATGATTTTCCATAAAACGTGTGACAGCCAGCAGTATCACGACGAAGCGGATGAAGGAGAAACAATTACCACCTTCGGATCTTGGCAAAGGACCAATAAGGTCAGTAGACACTACTTCCCATGACCTTCGAGGTTTTGAATGGCTAACCATTTTCGCCTTAGGCAACCCAGTTTCAAATTTATGCTGAAGACAAACGACACAACGCCTAACCAACCTAACTATGTTACTCCGCATTTTCGGCCAATAATGCTTCTCAGCAGAACGTATAAAAGTTTTATAAACGCCTGTATCACCGCAAGTAGGCGGTTCATGAACGCTGGCAATAGTCCTTGCCTTCTCTTCCTTTAGGACCATTTACTTCCAATTTTCGTCCTGTGGATTCAACTCAGGATACAGGCACTTAACATATTTCCACAACCTACCCTCATTTTCCCTCCATCCAGAAAACTTAAGAGGATTGGATTTGATCTTCCTCACCATACCAAGATACCAATTATCGACAACAGGTAGAAGTGTATAAGGCCTAGAGAGCATGTCAGGGACGTTGTGCTCCTTGTCTTTTCGATAAACCAGAAAGTCCCTTATCTCCAAAATTCCTCTAAGATGTACCTACCCGATGTACCTATTCTAAAATAACTTAACCTTAGTTTGGTTGAGCTCAGTAGGAGTAAAATAAGAGAAGTATTATTGGCCGAAAATGCGGAGTAACATAGTTAGGTTTGTTAGGCGTTATGTCGTTTGTCTCCAGCATAAATCTGAAACTGGGTTGCCTAAAGCGAAAATGGTTAGCCATTCAAAACCTCGAAGGCCATGGGAAGTAGTGTCTACTGACCTTATTGGTCCTTTGCCAAGATCCAAAGGTGGTAATGGTTTTCTGCTCGTGGTGACAGATTATTTGAAAAAGTTTGTTCTCCTTCATCCGCTTCGTCGTGCTACTGCTGAGGCTGTCACACGTTTTATGGAAAATCATGTGTTTTTATTGTTTGGAGCGTTGCGCAACGGCCCCACGTTGGGCGCCAAAAATGTTGCGAAAAAATTAACCCTTAAACTGTTTGAAAACTGAATTTGAATAAATAGACCCTATAATAGGCCTAGGTACAGTAAGATACCCTTAAGAAATGCGACCAGCGCAACAAAGTGCTCGCAGCTACTCAGTCAGTGTGGGAGTAGCTTCAATATTGAAAGTTAGCTTTATAGGGCACAAAATAAAATCCGCAGACTTAAACCAAAAAGTCCCTGATCTTCAAAATTCCTCTAAGAATTGCCTACCTATAGGCGCCGACTCCATGGGTGCTACGGGTGCGCAAGCACCCATACTAATTTATATTATGGGTGCGGAGCACCGATACGAAAAATGTTAAATGTATAATTTCCCTAGTTAAGTTAAAGGAAAAACCAACAAAGCCTATTATTTAAAAATTAGTAGTTTTATCGGTGTGTCAATTGTGTCAAACTAACCCAATCCAATTCTGGACCTGCGATTTACGTCACTATCAGCAGCTTATCGTGATGACGTCACCCGCAGACCTCGATGGGATGCTTGCGATTCAGGCTGTGCTAGTAAATTAATTTATATCCTTCTGAACTATTATAACCACATAATACCTTGGTTACGATAATCATAAACAGGGTCTTAACTCCCAAGGGAGTTAAGGATATTCATAACTCCCGCTTTTACCTTGAATAGGTAAAACTTTGTAAACTTCATAAAAATAGACAAAATACAGTAAATTCAGTAGGATATAAAATTATCTATGTACCACGGGAATTATCAGGTGTTAATACCCACGGGCAATTGGTGTGACACAAACGTTGCCCTGGGGTATTAACACCCTCATAATTCCCTTGATACATAAATAACTATTTTTCGTCGATTTTAAATGTAGAAAAGTTGATTTTCGGTCTGTTCTCACAGAAGAAATAAAGTATTCTTGATCCTCAAGTATTCCAGAATTTGATGGTAAGGAAGTTAGAAAAATTACCTAATATCGCGCGTGGGTCAGATCCATGGGTTCGATCTACTGACTCAAGCATCAGCGCTACTAATAGGAGTTTTTAGAAACGCTGTTCCGATTAACCCGATCACCAGCATTTTCGTTTTTTGTCTTTATTTAATGAGTGCGAAGAAAGACAGTTTACATCAGTTGGTGATCGGGTTAATCGGAACACAGTTTCCAAAAACGCCTATCATGACCTTGATCCGAGAAATACCGACAGAATCGACAGATGAGCAATCCTGTGTAGTGTATAATATCCTTGGGTCAAGAAGTCCAATCAGCGAGTCAAATGGCACAAAAACAAAAACGCCATTTCATGCCGCCTTTGGCTTAGCACCCATTCAGATTTCAGAAAGCCGGCGCCTATGTGCCTACCCGATGTACAGGGTTATTGGTTATAAATGTCACCTCCTCTATCTTTTTTATTTGACATTTTAGAAAAAAGTGTCCCAAATAAAAAATTTATGGTTGAAATTAAATTTTTTGAAAAACTTACTTTTTTATATAGTAAGGTGTTTTAAAAAAGCTGGTCGTGCTCTAACTTTCTTATTTTAAACTGAATACCCTGTATATTATTCAATATTCGGATTCTACGTCAAATTCTGAGCAGATATCATGTGATATACCCTATACCTAAGTTCAACTGTTTTGGAAATATTGACAGTTGAAAATTGACTTTTTTACAAATTTGACAGGCTGTAAAACCTAAACGGTTAACTTTTGAGCAAAAACGATCTTACATTTTTTTTAAAAGATTTTCACAAGTTATCATTTGACACCAACTTTGAATTTAACCAAAGATTAAATTTAATTGGAATTTTAAATCATGGATTAAATTCAAAGTTGATGTCAAATACTGGTGTCAACTGAGTTTATAAAAATCTAAGATTAAAATGTAAGATGGTTTTTGCTCAAAAGTTAACCGTTTAGGTTTTACAGCCTGTCAAATTTGTAAAAAATTCAATTTTCAACTGTCAATATTTCCAAAACAGTTGAACTTAGGTATAGGGTATATCACATGATATCTGCTCAGAATTTTACGTAGAATCCGAATATCCAATAATATACAGGGTATTCTATTTGAAATAAGAAATTTGGAGCACGAGCACAGCTTTTCTGAAACACCCTGTATATGCGAAAGTGAGTTCTTCAAAAAATTTAATTTCAACCATAAAACTTTTATTTGGGACACTTTTTTCTAAAATGTCAAATAAAAAAGATAGAGGGGGTCGACATTTATAACCAATAACCCTGTACATACCTATATCCTTTAAAATAACTTTACCTTAGTTTGGTTGAGGTCAGTAGGGGTAAAATAAGAGTCAAATATAAAAACAATTATTTTAAATCTATTTAATATGTTATGAGGGATATGTTTAGATTTCGATCCTATTAGGAGGGTTTTTTTAAATCCTAAAACTACCCTGTCATCTGAATACAGAGAATTAACTCAGTATTATCTCGAAAAACATACCTTTGCCAACACCCACATATTGTTTCGCATTCAATCAAAAAGGTAGAAATCTAGTAAAATGCAATGAGAAACCTATCAATCACCGACAAATATTAATCCTCAGGTATAGGGCTTCATAAATACCCTCGCAAATACCTGAATTAATTACTGAATTTATTAAAAATTCCAGTTACGTACTAAGGCAAAATTTGTACGTAACAATCCTTACAAAGCAAAATATCATTATAAGAAACCAAAAAAAATGTAAGTGAGTGGCAAAATGAAAAACAATTCAACAAGGAACAATAAATAATGGAAATTGATGCTAAAGAAAAATATTCTAGCTCTCAAGCAAAATACTTACTCAGGCTGATTTTCAGAACAGTTTTTCAAAATCTCTTTTTTCAAGTTACAACGTGCAATCTCCAAAGGAGATTCTTCAGTGCCTCCAAACAATTCAGTTAAATCCTTTTCATATTTCCCATACAAATCTGGGTTATTCGTTAATACTTCAACCACTTTTTCACTGATATCGAAAATTTTCAAAAGGGCAACTATCACTTTGTCCTCTTTATTAGACAGAATAATTTCTCCTGGAAAAAATTATATAAAATAAATATACCCAATAATTAATATAATCTTACTGAATTTCTTTAAGCCTTCCAGTAACTTTTGCAATTTTAGCCCATAGTCGTTTTTAACTAAATTCGCATATAAACAAGCTAAACTGCCAAAAATCATTGTTAAATTGGGATGATTCATTTGGACATAGTCTTTGTAATATTTCCTAGTCATATAATAGTTTTCCTCCTCAACAGCTAAATTCATAAAAGCCATGTCCAATATTATATTATTTTTTTTCAATTCTTTAACCAATTCTGTTTGATTGAATTTGCTTACTTTGTTCATTAATAGTTTATTAAACAATTTTCTATATAAAAGCTTTGACTCGCTTAATACTATTGACGGTAACAGTTCTTTTTGAGTAGATTTCCAATAATCTTGAACACGTTTTAGGTTTTCTGCTCCAGAGCTTTCTGCCAAGGTTTTTTCAATGGTCAAAAACTGATCGATTTCAATAAGAGTACGCAGATTTAGGATTTTATTGTATCTTAAATTGCCAAACATTGGATTCAACAGTTGCCAGTCACTCAAAAAGTTATCCAGGCTGTTTTTCAAATATTGAGCAGCTTGGGCGTTATCTTTTTGGGTCAGCCATAATATGCACAGTTCTTCTGAGAATTTGTTTTTTAAGTAATCAGCTTGTTCTGGATTGCCTAGTAGAATATGTATGTTTTTAGAAATTAATTAATAAAATTATTGAGACTCACTTAAAGACTTATTAATATCAGTCAAAAACTGTGAACAATCGTTGCCAGTAAATAAAGTATTCTTCACTTTGGCGCTAACAAACCATGGCAAGATTTTTTGCTGGAACCAATCATTGTCCCACAAAGAATCCCAAGTTTTCTCGCCACCTTCTGGAACAAGGGATTCTACTGCTATTGGTAATTTGTCCCATTCACCTGAAAATAATTAGTAGATCTTGGACTATTAAGACACCCAACAGATACAAACTTTCCGAAATATTTTCGATAATTCCTGAATTTGAATATTTTTAGGAAACTTTATTAATGCATGCGATATTGCCTACAATATGGCAACCACGCAGCAAAAAGTTTTACTTGTTATTCACATTAAAAATAAGCTCAGAGGTAGAGTAGGTCAACTGATAAGTCTCAAAACTCCAATTCCTATTTGGAGATCAAACAACTTCTGAATTTACACTTTGGAGATTCTTGAGACCTCTCGGCTCTTATCTAACGCCTTAAACAACTACCTAGCGAATCCCCCCTTACTTTCTACAACAGACTCCAAGTAGTGAATGCGAAAATGCATTCTTCTATCCAAAACAGTAGATCAAAAAGAAGCACCGTCCTCCCTTGTGGAATCTATGGCCCTAAGCACTCTTCTTACAGGCCTAGAACCTCGCCAAGGCCAGATTATCAGAGCTGGAAGCCCACATACTCTTTGAGATGCTCAATGTAGAATCAGGAGAGAAATCCAACTTTCCTATTTTGAGAATGAAAAGACTCCAAAACTTTTTTGATCAACAAACCACAATCATCCATGAAATGCTTTTCTTGCGGAAAAATTGGCCACACAGGCAATCAATGTAGACAACAAGCTTCCAGTTGTTCAAACTTCACTCAATAATCAAATCAGAATTTCCAAAAAACGACAACAGCTAACTATTCAGGCACCGCAAACCAACAACCAATGTTTTGTAAAATAGAACCCAAAATGCATCCACTTCGAAACAATTCGTACCAAGATACGCTTCAATTAACCCTTAAAGAAACCCAAATTTTTACCCTAACCAGCAAAAAACTTATCTTTTAAATGATTCCTCTAATGAAACATATGCCAACGAATTTGAGTACGCTAAAAGCCTTCATGATGAACAAGATGGTAGTTATGAAGAAAAAGAATATGCTTAACAGTTCACTACTGATCCAAATGCTGAAAATTATCAGGCTTTTCTGGTACCTTTCACCAAACACCATCCGCCAGAGAATACCCCTCAAGACACTTCAAATATCCGGACTCAAATACAACTTCTGAATCTAGACAACATGAATCCGAACCTCAATTTTCCGGAACAAGCATTTCTTTAAACCCACTCCTTACTGTTAATTCGAAAAATCTGTACAACATTTATGATGCTTCCAATAAATTCAGATTACTTATTGATACAGGTGCAGGCATTTCAATTTTTGAAGAAAATACTTTCCATAAATTCCCCTATCGTTCCGAAGAAAACGTAACCATTCAAGGTATCACCGATCAAAAACTCCAGATCAGTGAATCAACACTTGTACCGTTCACCCTCCAAGATCCTACTGATTTCAATGGAATTTTAGGGTTCGATTTCCTAAAACATTATCAATGTGTGATAGATTTAAAAGCTAAAGAACTTGTAACTAATTTCAAAACTGCCCCTCTTCATAAAGCAACCGAAGATGACTACCCTAATAATGCAAAACCAAACAACACTCAAACAATTCTTAACAAAATATCTATAGAAGCCAGAGGTGGAAAGATCTTTAAACTCAAGTGTAATCTATCCAACACAGATGCTTCACTCTTTTCTCAAGAAAAAGAAAAAGTCAAATTACCCAATGCTTTAGCAAACATCAATGAACAAGGTGAATTTTTACCCTCAATAGTAAATATTAACGCTATAGAAAAAACCGTGGAGATTTCAAATTTATCTATCGAACCATTTGTCTCAGAAAGAGAAACTCAAAAAACCAATCTAAGTTTTAACAACTTTAACCTCGAATATGATGATACTTATGATAGGCAAATGTTCATACAAAATGAACTTCGTACAGAACATTTAAACGACAAAGAAAAAGAACTAATTACCAACTTATGCCTGAACTTTTCCGAAATTTTCTACCTGGAAGGTGGCACGCTCACATTTACTAGTAAGATTAAAAACACCCTATTGACACCAATAATGCAAAGCCTGTGTATACCAAATCTTACAGGTACCCCCAAATCCACAAAGAATAAGTCAAATCCCAAGTTACCAAAATGCTAGACCAAGACATAATTCGCCATTCTGTATCTCCATGGTCTTCTCCCGTCTGGGTTGTTCCATTCCTAAGAAACTTGATGCTTCTGGTAAACCCAAATGGCGCGTCGTAATCGACTACCGTAAAGTCAACGAGCTTACTGTAGAAGACAAATTCTCGCTGCCTAATATTTCCGATCTTTGAGAATCAATTGGGAAAATGTCAATATTTTACCACCCTTGACCTAGCTTCAGGTTTTCACCAAATAGAAGTAGACCCCAAGGATTCAAGGATGTTTCGAAAACCGCTTTTTCCGTAGAAAATGGCCATTACGAATTTGTACGTATGCCATTTGGATTGAAAAATGCCCCTTCCACATTTCAAAGAGTCATGGACAATATTCTTCTCGGCATTCAAAACGAAAGATGCTTTTTATATACGATATTATCGTTTACTCTCCTACCCACGAACATATTTAAAGGCTAATCGAAGTTTTTAAACGCCTCCGTGAAGCTAACTTAAAAATCCAGCCGGACAAATGTGAGATTCTTCGAAAAGAAATAGCTTACCTGACAGTGTAAAACCTAACCTTGAAAAAATTAGTTGTATTCAGAACTTCCCCACACCCAAAAATCCAAAAGACATTATATATCCTTTCTAGGATAGGACTGAAGGATATCTTCCATATGACCTACCTAAATGTGCAAGACACTTAAAATATGATTCATAATAGAAATCTTGACATGCAGGGCTTGGATCAGTTCTAATCAAGTTTTCATATTTCTCCTGAGCATCACGCCACCTTTTGTCCGATTCCAAAATAATCGCTTTGTGAACATCCTCTTTACAATTAGTTTTTTCCAAAAATATCTTCCTCACCTAAAAACCCCCATTACAAAAAAAAAAAAAAACATTTATTCTCACATACCAAATCCCATTCATTTAAATCCTTGTAAAGTTCAGCCAGTTTCAGCCAGTAAGGTGTTTCAACGTTATCATAATACATTTCATAATCTGAAGGTGCATTTATAGATATCAAATATTCTTCTAGTAGCAGCGCCCCTACAGATACCAAGCCGCTTTGTTGGCAAACTTTGGCAAGTAATTCAGGATTGATTTGAAATTCCTTTTTGCTTTGCAGTAAGATATCCAGCAAAGTTGAGATAACGTTGGCATTAAATTGCATAGAGGCTGTGAAAATGTGCTTGATACTTTCCAGAATAAAGTTGCCGAAACCGTCTTGGGTGTTTTTAAGTTTTTCTTTTAGGGATTTGTGGATGCAAGAGAAGAGGATTTTGGATAATTCACCATCGTGCTATAAAAATTGAGTAAAAACAATTAAAATTTCATTGAACTATTGATACACCTACCAGGGCTAGCATTTGTAAAGGTTTAACCAAAGACCCCAAGCTAATTTGTATATCAGGAAAATCCCCTTTTCTATAACTCCTATAAATAGTCACTTTCTTCTCCTGCTCCTTGGCAGCATCATATCTTTTGGAAACTTTTTGAATTTTTTCTGCCACAGCTGAATGAGCAAACCCAGCAGATATCTTAGCTTTATCCTTCAAAAACCTCCGTTTGGGCAATTTATAATTTTGTGAAATTTGCACAGCATTTGGGTTAATAAAAGTATTATTATTATTCCCAATCAAAGTACTTTCTAGGCTAACAATTTGAGAAATATGTCTTTCCCTTACAGATTGCTGAGTGGGAGCAAAAGTAAGATTATCTTGAGTAGCCCTTATTGCGCCTAACTCCACCGAAGAACCATCGTCGAGGCCTTCAGTGTAGGTTCTCAAAGTTTCCGCAAACATTGGCACCACAGACGGATGTTGCAGCCTCCAATTCGTTTGTAGTTTGTACTCTTCAAAATCACAATCCTCTAAAGGATGTTCGAAAAGTTCCTTTTCATATTCATCAAAAATAATTGAGTCTAAGAGAAAGTAGGATGTGTAACCTAAAAAGTGCTCTTCTACTTTTGCCAGGTAAAAGTTGGATAGTAAATAGCGGAATTTGTTGGAAATTGTTGATGGTACTAGGGGGTTTTCAGACCAGAATTTGCGGATTTTATCTCTTGTTTCAATGTCAGTGTCTACAAGACCTTGGATTAGAACCTGGAATATTTTAATAACATTGTAGTATTGAAAAACATCAAATACTATTGTTATTTTTACGGGTTCGCAGATAAGTGAGATTACTTTTTCGAACTTGAACGAATTTTATTAAACAAAATAACATAAAAATCACACGAAATTCAACACTACTTCACACTCTGAACTGCTCCAAATAAAGCTTATATCGATCCTATCAATATCCCTCTGTCGTCAGTCTTCCTGTTCTTGCAGAATTTTCTGGAGCCGGTCTTATTCTTGCTGTCGCTTGTTTTCTTCTACCTGTTTTTCTTTAAGTCGCCTTGTTCTTGAAGGATTTTCTGTAGTCGGTCCTGTTCTAGTTGTCGCTTGTCCTCTTGTTCTTAAAGGATTTTCTGTAGTAGGTCCTGTTCTTCTTGTTTTTTTTTTGCTCTCTTCTCGTCCGCAAGTGTCAACAAAGCGAGCACCTGGTTTAGCTGTTCTTCCATTGCGGCCGTCTGCTTTCTCGTATTTACCATAAACGCAAATTTCTTCACTCACTTATCCCACTTCTGACACCAATTGTTACTTTTACAGGTTCGCAGATAAGTGAGACTACTTTTTCGAACTTTAACGAATTAAAATCACACGAAATTTAACACTACTTTACACTCAGAACTACTCCAAATAAAGCTTATACGGCACAATTATTTTCGAACTTGGTTATTTAGTTCCTGACTTTACAGTTTACTGCACTTGTCGTACGTCAATCAGAACTGATTCTCACGCGGTGCGCACCGGGGCTTTTATAGTTATGTGCGTCCTTCTCTAACACGCTCGAACTTTCGTGATTCAGATCATCTTGAAAATAGTCGAATTTCTGGCTTCTTTAACCGTAGTTACAGGGGGCAATCAAAAAGTACGAGTGGCGGGATTATAACACTATCTCACCTCTTTGCACAAGTCAGTTATTTCTTTATCATCAATATTACCAACTTCCAATATAGCCATCAGTATATCATACATTCTACCTCTACAGAATGTGTTCGGGTTTGTAAGATTCTTACAAACACTTTTTAGTATATTTTTAAATGAAGCAATTTGTTTCAGGATTTGGAATGTCTACAAAAAAATACATTAATCATTGATCAACTTTTCTTCAATGAACAATTTTACCTTTAAAATAATCTCCAAAGTTATCAGTTGAACTTCGGCACTTTGACTCTCCAAATACTTGTCCCAATCTTCCCCTTTAAACGAGTCAACCTCTCCCAAAATATCCACCCCTTTGAAAATGATTTTCAAAAAACTGCATTGCAGATTAGGATTGGATTGCGACAAGCGATTTAGCATTTTAATTACGTGATAACTATTAATTATTTTTGGATAATGAATGCCGACACCTTCCAAACAGCTGGCGTATTTATCAATTTGCGTACTATCGAAACGTAATATCAATTTACTGACTTCTGAGTCAAATGATTGTTGTTTTAATTGGTGGTTTTTGAAGTATTTGAGCATTAGGCCTACAGTTTCTGCACAAGGCTTGTAAATGGTGCTTACACTACTTGTCAGTATGCTTAGGATTTTTTTCCAAAAAGTAGTAATGTTAGCGTTTTCACAAGGTAAAATTTCATTTACCTAGAAAAAAACTCATTATAATAATAGTATTTTTTCCCACTATGTACAAATTACCAAAAATATCGATGTTAAATGAACTCCAGCTTCAATTTTCCTATCGTTAACGTCAAAATTTAATTTTGCAAACAAATTGTCATAAGGAACCTCTATAAATTCCTTCCAGTTTTCAACAAACAACTTGACCAAATCCAAATTGTATTTAAACGCATCTTGTCTATCGTTTGTAAGGATTGTTACAATGTGTTTCAAAACTGCAGAAGCTAATTGGGCTTCTTTTTCGTTGAGTTGTATTAGGCTAGTCCATGATGTTAACACTACAATCTAAAGAGCCAAATTTTATTTTTGTATTTGCTTTGTTGTGTTTTACTCACAACATCAGATATAAAGTAGTTAAGATCATTTCCAGCTGTTTTGTCATTCAAGAATTGTAATAAAGGCTCAGTGAAATATTTAGCAAAATGTCTGAATATGTGGATCATGTTGTCGATGACTTTTATCCAGAAAAATTTGATGTTTTTGTGAGTGTTGGGATTCAGCAGTAGATTTCTGATGCCTGAAATTAAATATTTATATTGTTTCATGTTTTATGCAAAAACCTTTACCTTCCATCCATTTGGGAAACTCTACCATTTCATCTTCATTTTCAGGCAACTGACAAATCCCACTTGCAAAAATGTGTTCGATTATACCACAAACGGTGCCCATTAGTTCGTGATTATTGATTTCAGTAGATTCCAGATAGATTTCGCCCTAAAACAATTTCAAAACAGAATTATGGCACCAAAAAGACACTCACACATATATGTACTTACTTCAAAAAACTTTGTTTCCAAATTGGGATTGTCTTCAGTAAGATCATTTTCCTCATTTTTTGTTGTGGAAGTCCTGAGAATGCTGTTAGTGAAATCGAATTTTGTTACGTCTTCATTGAGAGAGCTTTTAAATAGTCTTTGCGATTCTATGTATCTGAAAATATAAATAGTTTTCAATAGTAATGTGGTACTTTTAATTTTTTGCTGTACATAGTTTTTATTTTATCAGTATTATTATTATATTTTATTTGTCATTGGCATTAGTTTTTCATCATTATGAATGTCGTGTATAATTCTTGTTTATTAAAGACTAATTTCTAAAACAGTATAATACTTTTGCGGCAGATGGTAAATTATATCAGTTTCGAAGAATTCCTTTTGGTGTGACAAACGGAGCTGCATGTTTTCAGCGGGTAATAGACTACATAATAAAATCGGAGAATCTTGAAGGTGTCTATGCATATTTAGATGATATTACGATATGCGGTAGAAATCAAGCAGACCATGATAAAAATTCAAAAGAATTTTTACTCTTAAGAAAATACAATTTTACCATAAACGAAAAGAAAAGTTTTTACTTCCTAAAATCAGTCAAACTTCTTGGATATCTGATTAAAAATAATACCTTGAAACCTGATCCAGTTCGACTTGAACCCCTACGAAAACTACCTGTACCTGAGCTCTTGGGATGTTTGCTCATTACTCATAATGGATACCTTGCTTTCTAAATTAAATAATATAAAAAAATAAATTCATCGACTTGTTTCTTGTAAATCTTTTCCGTTGTCAGAGAAATCTGTATATTTTATGTTTGATATCAAACACCAGAAAAATTGAAAAATTGATAAAAAAGCCCAAATTGCTTAACCCGATTTTATCTCAGAAACTATTAGTACAAATGAGCTGAAATTTTCAGGGATTGTAGTCCCTTGATTGGGATAAAATTCAGTGAAAGTTTCAGCTTTCTATCTATAATAGAAAAAAAGTTATGACCTTTCAAAGTTTTCCAAAATCTAAATCATAAGGTAGGTACCATCTTACTAAAACGATGAAATTTCAATTCTTTTTTTGTCGAGATTTTGTATCCTAATGGTCAATCAACATACCCCAAACTCCATACACTAAATTATTCTCAGATTTAAAGCCGAAATCTATGAAAAAAGGCACTCAGAAAAATTGAAAAATTGATAATTCACCCCAAATTGCTTAACACGATTTTATCTCAGGAACTATAAGTGCAAATGAGCTGAAATTTTCAGGGATTGTAGTCCCTTGATTGGGATAAAATTCAGAGAAAGTTTCAGCTTTCTATCTATAATAGAAAAAAGGTTATAAGCTTTCAAAGTTTTCCAAAATCAAAATCATAAGGTAGGTACGTACCATCTTACTAAAACGATGAAATTTTATTTTTTTTTTTGTCGAGATTTTGTATCCTAATGGTCAATCAACATACCCCAAACTCCATACACTAAATTATTCTCAGATTTGGAGCCAGATTCTATGAAAAAAGGCACTCAGAAAAATTGGAAAATTGATAAATCACCCCAAATTGCTTAACACGATTTTATCTCAGAAACTAAATGAGCTGAAATTTTCAGGGATTGTAGTCCTCTACTGAGATAAGTTGAGATTTAGTAAATCATTACAAGTAATTTGTAAACTGACCTAATATTATAAGTTACCTGAACGAGTTCTGTTGATTCTGTTCATTTTGCTGCCTCAGCTCATCTCTGATACTAACCAAAATCTTCCTCTTCCTAGGATAACTATCAAAATCAATAGGAAAATTATAGCTCACGTTTGTATCAATCAAACTATTCCACAAAATATCTTCATTGTTTTCAAGACGCACAAATAATTTTTCGTAAAAATTTTCAGTCCTTATAGAATTACTGATTATCGAAGCAAGCGCTTTATAGGCGGAACACTTATAAATCCTCAAATTTTCTTTAATCTCGTTATTTCTAAAAGCATCCAAAGCCAGTTTTAGTAAATGGGCTCTCAATTTCGGACTTCCAGAAGCTTCGGTGATGCTGCAATACGTTCTTTCTTGAGAGCCAATAGGGATTCTTAAAAACAATAATTCTACCAATTGGAAACCGATTATTGCATCACTAGGCTCTGTTGCACCTTGTAACTCTACAATTTGTTGTATGTTTGTTTCAAAGAAACTCTCAAACGCCTTATAGCTGCAGTATTTGAAAATGTATGGTAAAATGTTGTCGAGTAATTTCATTTTTTGCTGGAAATTTTTGTTTTTATCCAATACCAACTCAAAAATGGCCTGCAAGATTTTTGCCTGATTCTCTTCAGTAGTTTTCATAATAAATACTTTCAGTAAATTAGTCATATCAATTTCATTTTTGCTTACAGCAGAATTTCTAGTATAAAATTCTATGAGATATTTAAAAATATGTTGGCTCTTAACTGTGGGCAAAATTGTAAGCAATTTTTCTGTTAGGGTGGTATTTTGGGCATTTGCAATAACAGGATCAAGCTTTGAGCTTAAATTTTCCAATGCAACCCTATAACAAAAACATTTATTGACAGAAATATATATTTTCTGAAAATGTTACCTTAAATTATCCACATTAGTATCATCATCAACGACTTCAGCAACAACGCCAAAAATATTCAAATACAAATTAACCCCTTCAAGTTCAGTTAGAAGTACTTCATTGCTACTCAACAGACTTAAAACCCAATTTTGAATACCAGCAATGTAACTAAGAGAACTACCGAATATTTTCCATATTTGTCTTACAAAATTCAAGCCCAAATCGATGCTGTTTTCCTCAAAATATAATTGAAACAGGTACCATTTGTCTAAAATATTTTCTGCGATTGCATGAAGGTTATTTTTGAATTCCTTCTTGTTGTTTTCCAAGTATTTCAGCAAATAGTTGGTTAATTTGATGATTAGTTCGATATTATCAGAAGCCTTTAAGAATCTATCAAAATCTCCAATAATGTGCTTGGTAACAGGTTCAAATGTAGTCAATAAATATAATCCAAATGTGTTTTGACTATCCTCTTGACAGCTAACAAGGGTACTATTAAATAAATATGATAAAAATGCCTCAAATTCTTTTGGATTTTTGAGTGTGAGTTTAAAAATTGAATTGCAATATTCTGTAGTAATATCTGAGAGTCTGTTTATGTAGATAACGTTTTCGTCGATGTTTTGTAGAAATTTTTGCATCAGTTTCTGTATTAAGCCGAAAGAAATCTCTTCTGTTTTGAATGAGGTGTCTAGTTGGCTATTTTGGATTAATAAAAGACCTAAAAAGTAACTAATTATTCATCAACATTTAAATACACACACAGGCAAAATTAGGGGATCGGACAAAATTTACACCAAGTTTGACATCAATTTTTCCTAGAACCTTTCGTTGGATTTCGATGAATTTCTCATAGATTGTAGTTTGATTTTTCAGGAATACATCTGACGTATTACCGTTATTAAATGATTCGTCTTTATATCATATACAGGGATGGAAAAAAAGTCAGTCATTTTCAGAGTTTTTTGAGACACCCTGTGGAGTGAACCACTGGAAATTCAGAACAGTTTTCAACACCAAATTGTAGCCTGATTTTTTCCAGCATTTTCATTTTTTATTCACTATGATATTTTCAATATTATTGAAAATACAGAGTTTCGAAGAAAAGGTGGATATTGACCTGAATTTTCTCCACATCGACATACGAATTGGATATGAAAATGTGTCGTTTTCCAACTTCAAGTCGTGTGTGTGAATGTTTACTTCAAGTTAAATATTGCTCGCAATTTTATCTCTCACCGATCAATTTATTATGTGAAAAGAATGCTCACAAATATACAGGGGGATCAGAAAGTCCCTTTCATGATTTCTATTTGGTGGAATGTTATTTATAACTAAACTCTGTATTTTCAATAATATTAACAATATCAGAGTGAATAAAAAATGGAAATGTTCCGAAAACACCAGGCATTTGGTGTTAGAAACTGTTCTGAACTTCCAGTGTTTCACTCCACAGGGTGTCTCAAAAAACTCTGAAAATTACTGACTTTCTTTCCATCCCTGTATATGACGAATCATTCAATAACGGTAATACGTCAGATGTATTTCTGAAGAATCAAACTACAATCTGTGAAAAATTCATCAAAATCGAGCGGAGGGTTCAAGAGAAAATTAATGTCAAATTTTTGTGTAAATTTTGACCGTTCTCCTAATTTTGCCAGTGAATGTATTTCAATTACCTTTAATTGTATTTCTTTGTTTCAAACCCACATTCCTTTTCAAATCGATACTTTCAATACTCAAATTATCTGCAACAAATTTCCTGAAAACTGTCACCAATACATTTGTTTGCTCTCCTTTCAATTTCCTGGGAATATTATTGAGTAAAATCCTTAAAACTTCCAAATATTCAGGTTGAGAGACCCTTTCATCAAACGCCAATAAGCCAGGATTGAATATGGCGTTCAATATTAAGCTGTGTAAATATTTGTTCCAAAATGAAAATTGATTTTCATTATTCGAATGCAGTAATGCACTAGCAAGTTTCATAATGGCTAAATTACAAGCCAATTTCAGGTTAGAAAAGTGCTCTTTATCCACCGCAGTAATTATTGCAGATGAATTTTTGGAAATCAATTTCGAAGCTTGCTCTATTGTGCTTGTTTGTACAAACTTCAAAAAGAATTCGATTGACTTATTATCATAATCAAACTGGCCTAAAGAGTTTTTGATAATAAATAAATAACCGTCAATCAAACATAAGAGTGCTTGTAACCATTTTAGCAGCAAAGTGCAATCTTCAGTAATCTTTAAATCATGTAAAGTGGGATTTTTGTTTATGTGTTCTGCAAATATTGCTTGAAAATTATCATCTGGATATTGTTTCAAGACACATGCTGGTAAGGATTCTTTGGTGCCACATAATGGTTGAATATGAATGAATAGTTCCATGGAGATATCTCTGAAAATTATTATTAGAATTCTTTCTTTTTAAACAAGTAAGTCCTTACCTGCAATATTTACTTCGACTAGCAGTCATAGATAAAATCCACTTCACAAGTCCTTCCAAGGTGCCTTCAGTAATATCCGAAGGGATTCGTCTTAAGTTGTCAGTTGTGCGAAAAATTGGAGCTTTTTCCATAAAAATCCTTTTCAAATGCCCTATAGCATTTAAAATTTGTGTTACAGTATTATCGACTTCCTCATTTGAATATTCCAATAAAGCTAAGCTATTGATAAATATGTGTAATAATTCCATAGAAAAAATACTAATAAGAGCGCGTTCTTCTCTGATTTCTTTGTAAATGTTGTTGAAAATCAGGGCAGCTCCCAGTTTTTTCACTAGATCTGGATGAGAGCTGAAAAACCTGATTCGTTTGACAAGGATTTTGATATTTTGAGGGTTTGTTTTTAGTTCTTGTTCTGAACTTTGCTTAACAGTCCATTTGACAAATTCGTTTAGGGATTTGCCTGAAAAATCTCTCAGGGACGAGTTTGTAGGATGAGTTACACCTTCCTAAATAAAACAGATTTTGGTTTAATGTTGAATAATTACTGAATTCTCACCATTAATACATCAATTATAACGGCCAAATGCGGACTCTCACGCTGTACTTTTGACGTATACCAGTGTACTAGTTGCATAAATAAAGGCTCGAAAATTTGTCTAACAACTTGATCTATATCACAGCCCAATTGTAATAAAGGCATCGCTAGATTCTTGAAAAGATCTTCCAAATCTGACAGGCCAGAATGAGCCATTTGTTTTGCTAGAATTTTGATTAAATATATAAAGTGTTTATTGGGGAAAAATCACATACTTCTTCCTAAGAAAACCATCACGAAGGCTTGTAAAAGCTCACAAGCCATTATTCTAGTTTTCCTATCACTTGAATATAAAGATAATTCAACAACTCTCATTATAAACGGTTCCAAGTGGATTTCCAATGCCAAATCTTCATATGGCAATGCAACTTTTAAATGTAAATTATCACTTGTTACTCTAAAAAATTAATTATGAAATAGTAGGCTAGATTATCATCAGTCATTACTTTCTCTCAAAATTATTGTCAGGCATCACAAAAGCCCTACAAACGTGACTATTTTGACTTCCAACGAAACGTAAAACGCGTTTTTGAAATTTCACCAATTCTGGCTCCAACTGCACCAGCACTGTACGTTTTTTCAAGCCCTGAGCACCCTTGCGTCTTTTATCCAACGCGTTCGTCTGAGATAAGCCCCCCAGAAATTTGCTTCTCAAATAACTATCCAGACAAGGTATGACTTGAATTATAAATGGCTCAAAATCGGTTTGGTTTATGGATTTTTGCCAGTGTTCCAATGTGTTTAGGCCCATGTTTGCCAAAGCTATGTAACTTCTGCCCACATCGAAAACGGTTACAAATATACCTGAAAAATATATAAATATTTGAGGCAAAATTATCTGCTGTGTTTGAGGAATGATGCAACAACAGGTTGAATGTTTTTGTAGAAGTGTATATCTTTTTTCATCCAGGTGGAGAATGTATTGCTTGAAGGAATCAAGAAAGTGTCAATATGAAAACACTTCTTGTTGCATTTATCCTGTATACAATTTAGTGTAGGTACATACCTGTACACTCTGGTAACAAAGGTTCTATAATTACAATGGGACATTCCAACAAAACATGTAAACACGATATAAGCAGCTCATCTTTGAATTGTTTCATTTTGTGCAGTAGAAATGTTAGAAATTTTGGAAGGGTTTCCTTACAATTGGCTACGTTTTGGTTCAAAGTTATATTACCTAATAGCAAGAAAAATACATATTTGCATTTGCCAAAAAACCACAAAAACAAAAAAAAAATCGTACCTGCATCAAACAGCATCAACTCATTTGCGATTTTCAAAACAAAACTCAATAATCTATAAAATCCGCTAATCAAAGGAAATTTGATGCATTTCTCCACAAGATGATTGATTAATTTGCAAATGCAAAGCCTCAACATGGCTGGCTCAATGTTCATAAATATTTCCTCATAAAAATCAATAACGTTCAAAAATATAGCAAAATCACTAGAGTGTTCCACCTGATAAGCTGTTTCTATATCAGTTTGTATAACGTCCTCTTTGAGTTTCACATTTATATTCAATTTATTAATCAATATCAATACAATTTTTATTAATTCATTGACAATTTTTGTTAAAATATATTGTCTGTCATCGAAATATATTGATACTTTATCATATTGGCGATTAGTTGCAAGTTTTAACAAGCCACGCCATAAAGGAAAGTAGTTTTTCACTGTCACTACATCTTTTAAGTTCGAATCTGATATGTGTTGATGGCTACAAGACCAAACAACACCCTGATAAACAATGTTTTCCAAAAATGCCTCAAAATGTTTAGTTTCTTTTAAATAAAATAGAGTGGTCACCAGAGCATCAATTACAATAGAATGATGTAGAGGCTTTAATTTGTCAAAGGATTTTATCATACTTATAACTGCTCTTTGTAGGCAGTAAATTTCACCATTGGAAAAAGTTTGATACCTAAAATAAATTAATAAATAATTATTTGATAACTATAACTAGAAGATTATTACCTCATAAAACTGGCCAAACATTGGACATAATCAGGCAAAAATTCTTTGTCTTCATAGTCGGGGTTTTCATTGAGAACATACAACTTTTCAAAATTTTGCATGATCATTAGAAAAATGTCTCGAGCTTCTTCTTTGGGGTAGTGCTTGTACAAGGGGCTACAAAAATATTTCAGGCCTTGTACACACAATTTTTTCTCGGTAGCTGAAGCTTTTTCTTTACGTATTATAGATTTAAACCAACCAATGAAATGCTAGAATTTGAATTTATATACTTATATCATCAAAAATTGTTTGTAAACTTACAGTTAGTATTGGCATGCAATTTTTTTTATCCATTCCAGCTAATGAGTGAGAAATATTCATTAATAAGGCCTTAAGAGCTTGTTCTCCTGCCTTTTTTTCTTCTATTCCCATATTCAACCATTCAACTAATAACCTCTTATGCCATTGCTTGTATTCATTAATAACAGTTTTCATGAATAAATTCATGTAGGAAGCAAAAAAGCATAAAGCAGCTTTGAAATAAGTATCAAAATTAATATCCAAGATACAATGACTTGATACTTGCTTACCTCTGTTTGCATATTTCACTTTTCCTTCAGCTTTAGATAGATCCCTGATATACTTATAAAGCTTTTCAATTATCACTGCATCATCTGGATTCTCTAAACTCAAAGGGAAACTTTCACAAAAATAATTAAGTCCTGTAAATATACCATAAAGTACGCTCTGTGAAGGCCCTTTTACAATTTGCCTGTCCAATTGCATTATGAAATAATTTTTTAAAGAGTCAGGCCCTGTAATTAAATAGCGGAATTTTTTTACAAAAAGACCTATGGCCATAAACTCTTTTTGTCTGACTAAAAATGAATAACTAGTAATAATTATGTGAGGATATTTGTTACAGACTTACTTGAATCTGTGTGGATTGCTTGTATCAAACAAGCCCTAACCCCATCAAAGACTGCCGCATATTTTTCTTGATTTTCCAAACATTTATCGATTTTCTCAAAACTGATAAGCAGTACATCTAGGGCTTTGGTTTTTACTTTTGCTGAGGCACTACTTTGCAACACTTTTAGACATTTGTCGTTAATATCCAGTACACTGTCTCCAATTTTGTTTGAAAAGTTGTTTAGTATTGTATAAATTAGTTCAAACGATTTACCAGTGGCATAGTCGAATTTTGAATTATTTACTACTTCTAGTATGAAGCTGAATATGCCGTTGGTTTTGTTGAAAATGTGGTATATGTATAGATCTGCAAAGAATTGTTATTATTTTATAATGGAAAATGGTTTGCACCAAAGGGATGATATGTAGGTAGGTACTTAAAAAATAAGTGATTTTTTAGGACCATTGGATGATAAAACACGCTTACAGTAGAAAAGGATTTTTATTCTGATGCATAATAAGTATACATTGGGTACCTACATAAGAAAATGATAATTGTTTTGCACTAAGTAGTTTTGGCAATTTTTGCCACTGGAATAATGATCATTTTCAAAAGGTTTTTCATCACATTTCCGAAAGAATCTGAAATTGGTGTTTTGTGCATTTCAGCAAGTAAAGATCGAGGTAAAGATGGAAAGATTTATTTATCTCAATATTATTATAACCATTGATTATACCATACCTGATTGATGAATCATCACTGAAGGTGACTGAAGTAAAAAAAGAGGCACTAGGGTAATGTAAACAAGCTATTGTACCTTTCTTTTCTTATCTATTTTTATATTCGTCATTCGGCAGTCGCCTATTGTGGAGGAATAACCTATTAAAAATATAATAATTATGTACGTAAGCTATGATCCTAAGTGCCCTTCAAATCAGAATTTTGGTAAGCTACTTCTAGTTGAGCATGTTTGGTATTAGACTTCAAGCATTTCGCTGTAGATGTTTTCAATAACTTCCTCTTAACAATTGAAGTTGCGTTTCACTGATATCCAGGGCAACAAATTATGGTTTAATTATTTCTTTTTGGTAATTGGTGTCCCCCGTATGCCATAATAGGTTAGGATCTCATTTGTTACACGATTTAATAGTATAAAGGTAAGTGTAGCAGTGGGGCACTACCGAATACCGGCGAGAAATGGTCGAATTATGATTTGCTGTTGGGTGTCAGCTGCACAACGTGGTTTCAAGTGAATTCAGCCTGATGGGGTTTTAATATAATAGCTGAATGCTCTTCTACTTTGCCAGACAAAATTGTTTTTGTGTTTTCCAGATAAAGAATCAAGTGATTAAGTATGTTCTATATTGTAGCTGAAATGAAATGGTCATACCTCTAAAGAGGAACAAAAAAGGAGGTATCACATGGGGTAGTTTCTCATCATAGAAAAATCATTAGAGGGGGTAAGCCTCCAAGAAAGGAAGGGTAGGGGTTAGGCAATAAACACATTTGGTTTCTCTTATTTGACACTAAAAGATAGGTATTCAAAATCACTAGGTAGTTTTAATAAAAGCTTTATCGATTTCTGAAGTCAAAATTGAGAAAAATCCAAAAATAGAAATTTTCCATTTTTCCACTTTTTTCTAAGGATCTTCAATCCTCAATATCTCGGTAACCAAAAGCCATACTGGAAAAGAAATTGTAGCCCATGATAAGGGCTACAAGATGATATTTAATTGAAATCGCTAGCATTTACGGTTTTTGAGAAAATCGAGTTTGAAGTTTTGGCTCAAGTTTCGGACAAACTGTAGATTAAAGACTAAATTTCAACTTTGAGGCTCAATATCTCTAAAACTCTACAAGCTACAGAACCCAATTTTGCACAGGTATTATAGAAAATTTATTGCACTTTTCATGGTTATTGGTTATTATTAATTTGCTCAAATTTTGAGTCTGGAGCAATCCAGAACTTCCTTATTTAATATTTTTTTATTTAAATAGTTATTGACAAATTTTATATAGAGTCCAGCACTAGCTGGGACTATATGGCGGATAGAGATCGATATTTCTATCGCTATGGCACTTTCGAAATCAATAGAGAAGGGACGTCAATAGAGATAGAGAAAATATTTCTATTTGTAACATAGTCCCAGGGCTGATCCGGGAATTAGAATTTTTTTACTTAGCTTTCCAAAATTGCGTTAAAAATTGAGAAATTATGAATGAATTCTGTGTGAGAGATAAATAATCCAGGAAAATTCTGGATGTAGGTGCTGCTATAAGAGAATGCTGTGTACTGTTTGAAAAGAATGCTGCATGCTTGATGTAGGTACTGTTATAATAGAATGCTGGAGTGATTTTTTTTTCCAGTTTTCAATTGAATGGCTGTTTAAGCCACTTCAAATCCATAGCTACTGTCACTGGGATTCATCCAAAGATGTTTCTATGTAATGCTCCAATGTCTTAAGTTAAGTCCTATTTATCTCAAATTTCAAGTCACTACCACTAGCAACAATCCAATTAATCCGAGAATTAATCTAACACAACTAACCCAAATTAACACTAACCTAAACTTTGAGTAATTGCTAATGGTAGTCCACTAACAATTTTAGCTACATATTTCCAAAATGAATTCAATATGAATATGCATATTTACATATCTCTTAAGCTGATTGCTAGAGAGATATGTAGCTATCCAGTTGTAGCTGTAATTTTCAAAAAGGCAATTTTTTTGAGACACTTATGGAGGAGTTGGGTGCACTGTTTGGAAAGCCAGTCGTCAATCCTTTGATTTATGAAAAGTAAGAAAAAAATGGGTCCAATAGTTAGAGAGAAAGAAAATATATCTTCATATGTCACAGGGTTCAGATAGTTGGTAGGATTGATATTCGATTGTATGTTTTGACAAATGTTACCTGCTATTGTTGTGAAAAAACTATTTAACTCCTCTGAGGTGATATTAGGCATGTTGCTGAATTTGCTCTGTTTTTCTCGCAATTCATTTATAACGCTCCAGTATTTTCTAGTTTTATTTTTGGCCCTTGAAACCCTACTCACATGGTCACGATTTTTAGCTTGTCGAATAACTTTTCTGTATGTGGACCGATATTTGTTAAAATAGATGATAAAATGTTTCACTATTTGTATATTTCTGTATTGTATGTAAAGACCGTAAATTATTCCCAGATATTTTTATACCTTGCCCAACACTTCTTAATTTTTCTTTTAATTTTACGCAGTGGGAAACTTTTATTATAAAAGTTGATTAGCAGGCCTAATAAAAGTCTGGGAGCCAAGTTAATTATCTGGAAAAATCTGGATACTTTGGAGCACGAGCTGGAACTTTGTGTTGAAATGTTCTTTATGTTGATACAAGTGTTTTCTTTACATTCAATAACAAACACATAACTTATTAGAACTGACTTTCATTTTTCAAATGCCTCAGGTTTTCATGTAAACAAGCAAATTAAGTACAGGGTGGTCCAATATAAGTAAATTGAACTTGTGTTGATGTTCAGGTTTTTTAAATAACTCTGAAGTATTTGATGTTTTGTAAATTCTATTACCATGTCATTAGCACATTTTATTTGATTTGAGTCATCAAACTACAAATCTATGAACAATTTTCCTGCCGTTGTGTTATTTTTTTTAGGTGAGCACCCCTGTAAGCAAACAAAGTCCAGGAGTCATCTGAGTCTAATATCACTTCTGGTGGAAATTGCTAAACAGATTTTTGAAAGGTACATATTCATTTTGAAATTTCAGTATGATGAACTCCTAACTTTTCCCTTTTTCTCCTGAAAGTTTCATAATTTTCCCTTCAGTAGTTTCCCAGAAAAAAATCAAAGTGCAAGAGGGTGCATGTTTGCTTAATTCGGATTTCCATTTTGTTATTTTTCACTGGATAAGTGTGAAATTTTAGTATAATGAGCTCCTAACCTTCATCTTTTTCTCTTGGAAGTTTCATGATTTTCCTTTCAGTGGTTTTTTAGAAAAAAATTGAAATGCAAGAGGGTGTATTTTTGCTTTATTTGAATTTTGCAAGTTGATTTTCATTAATTTCCCATTTTTTTAGGTCTATAAACCTAGCAGTCCCAAGGTGGAAAAAAACTTCAGGAACTATATAATATTTAGGTGCTTTTTAGGTGCTAATTAGGGCCTCTAATTAAAAATTAGGTGCTCCTTTAGTTTTTGAGAAAATCAAAAAAAAAAAACTAAGGGACTGCTAGATTTATAAAAGCTAGCAGTCCCCTATAGTAAAAAATATTTTTTCAAATTTCTTCTTTGTATCAGAATTAGGTGCTTTTTAGGTGCTCCTAAATAGTCGAAGAAAAAATAGAATTGATTAATTATTAACTGAGTTACAGATTTTTTTTTAATTGTTAGGGGACTGCTGGCTTCACGTTTACATGTTGGTGTGTCAGAATGGAGAAAAACTTCGGGATCTATATAATAATTAGGTGCTTTTTAGGTGCTAATTAGGGCCTCTAATTAAAAATTAGGTGCTCCTCTAGTTTTTGAGGAAATCAAAAAAACTAAGGGATTGCTAGGTTTATGAATGCTAGTAGTCCCCTATAGTAAAAAATATTTTTCCAAAATTTTCTTTTGTATCGGAATTACTTAGGTGCTTATTAGGTGCTCCTAAATAGTCGAAGAAAAAATAGGATTGATTAATTAATAACTGAGTTACAGATTTTTTTTCTATATAATAATTAGGACCTTTTTGGGTGCTAATTAGGGCCTATAATTAAAAATTAGGTGCTCCTCTAGTTTTCGAGAAAATCAAAAAAAACTAAGGGATTGCTAGGTTTATGAAAGCCAGTAGTCACCTATAGTGAAAAATATTTTTCCAAAACTTGGTTTTGTTATCAGAACTAGGTGCTTTTTAGGTGCTCCTAAATAGTCGAAGAAAAAATAAAATTGAATAATTATCAACTGCGTTACAGATTTTTTTTTTCAATTATTAGGGGACTGCTAGTTTCCATTAACCTAGTAGACCCTTCGTTTTTTTTTTTTTTGATTATATCAAAAACTGAAGGAGCACCTAATTTTTAATTAGTAGCCCTAATTAGCACCTAATTATTATTATTATATAGCACCCAGTTATTATATAGGTCCCGAAGTTTTTTTTCCATTCTGACACACCAACATGCGAGCCAACATGTAAACGTAAAGCCAGCAGTCCCCTGATAATTTTAAAAAAATCTGTAACTCAGTTAATAATTAATCAATTCTATTTTTCTTGGACTATTTAGGAGCACCTAAAAAGCACCTAATTCTGATACAAAGAAAACATTTGAAAAAATATTTTTTACTATAGGGGACTGCTAGCTTTTATAAACCTAGCAGTCCCTTAGTTTTTTTTGATTTTCTCAAAAACTAAAGAAGCACCTAATTTTTAATTAGTGGCCCTAATTAGCACCTAAAAGCACCTAATTATTATATAGTTCCCGAAGTTTTTTTCCACCTTGGGACTGCTAGGTTTATAGACCTCATTTTGTTAAAGTCCAGGAGGCAGTGAAATTTTTTAGCACTTATTTTCTTAGTTGTTGTATATTAAATAGTTTGTGTGATACAAAACAAGCATTTAAAAGTCTGGCTAAAATTTTCGGATGGGTTCACGAGATCAATTAGAAATACAAGTAGGTACACTTGAAAATTTTCAGATCTTCAATTTTTCACTTGCCAGATGTATCATCCATACTCACAGATTAGCCGGTCTATTTTTTTACGAAACTTCAGTATACCTCTCATTAAAAGAGATATTTTCAGAGGATTTATGAATCCCTTTGGGTAGTTAATAATACCTAATAATAAATTTTTGTCTTTTTCAGGTATAATAATAGATTTATCTAACATTCCAGGTTTCTCTTTTCTATGTCCATTTTGTCCTAACGTCTTTTCCAGTTTTGTCATCATTATTTTGGGACTTGGACAGCATCTTTTGTAAACTGGTTCTCACTCTGGAGATGGCCACAAATGACTGGGAATGGTGGACATGACCATGGATTCAGTTGCTGGATTATTACTTTTCTCTTCCAGGTGAAATTACATATCTGCATCAATTCCCAAAAAAACAGTTCATGATTCGACTGAATCTTCAAGGCAGGGATTCCCCAAGGGAGCCTAATGCCATAGTTGTCCTGGACCCCTTTTGTCGCACTCATATAGTATTTATGATAAGTGTTTACAGTGGTGAATTCCTAGCTGGCGAGTGAAGGCTGGATTAATGGATAGTTGACGGTTTTGGCTGTACAAGTGTAATTTCAAAGTTCATTAGGCCTAACGGGAAAAGCAGTAAAAAAAAATGCACTGGGCTTATTCAAGTTACCATTGGCAAACTTAATAAGGTAAGTTATTGAAAATAAACTTAAATTATAAACTTTTTGTTACAAGGCAGCCACTAATAACCAAGAGTTGCAGAGTTTAATCCTAAATCTGCAAGATTTGTGAGGAAAGACGCTGGAAAAGAATTATGTGAAGTCATGGTAAGAACTTCAAAAAAATCTGGACCCCATATGGTAAGATTTTACTGTTTGTTGTCTAGTTTCTTTTTCATTTTGGACACTGGAATCTTAAAAGACTTTACCTACTTGTTGAAAGTGAGTCCAATGTCCAGGGACAAAAATCAAATTGGAACCGAGGGGTTAATCACTCCCCGAAACCGTGTCACAAATTCGTCCGAAATCCCCGAAATCTTTCCGAAATCCTACCGAAATCCCTGAAATCCTTCCGAAATCGCCGAAATCCACGAAATTACTCCGAAATCTGCCGAAATCCACCGAAATCCCTCGCAAATCCGCCGAAATTTCTCGGAAATCCGCCAAAATCCCTCCGAAATCTCTCAGAAATCTTTCCGCAGACCTAAAAATCCCTCGCAATAGACCCAAAATCCTTAATGCGACCGTTTTCCAGTTTATACCAATATACCTTGGAATATACTTATAAGTTAACTAACAGTCTAAAATCAAATTAAAATATTTGGCAAATTTAATACAACTGAAGAAATTTGGCGTTGCTAGTGACATTCTACATAAAGATTTAATTTTGGCAACGCTTTGACTAGTCTGACAAAATCATGCAAGCTTATGGGCCATGGTCACATATATCTCATCGGTGTGGTGGTCAAAAACTGAGTTGGTCACCGCTCAGATCAAACTAGAAGGTACAAAGGCTAATCTGTCTATAGACTCTGAACATGCCTCAACTTCACCTAAGTGTGAAAAAAGGGGCATACAATCACTTGCGGTAATTAGGTTATTCCAAAAAATAAATTCAACAAAGAAAATTTGTGGAAATTAAATTCAATAAAAATTGGAGTTAGTGCGGGATTCGAACCCACGACTATCACATTGCTAGTAGGGAGCTCTACCAACTGAGCCAACCAACCCACCAGGGTCCTTATTCTTGAAACAGGGGAGCAGCGTTCCCAGGAGAACGAGTGTTCTGTCTTTTTCAATGATATGCAATGCAAATGATAATATAAGTAATAAAGACGGAACTCTCGTTCTCCTGGGAACGCTACTCCCCTGTTTCAAGATTGAGGACCCAAGGTCCCTATTCTTGAAACAGGAGAACAGCGTTCCCAGGAGAACGAGTGTTCCGTCTTTCTCAATGATATGCAAATGATAATATATGTAACAAAGACGGAACACTCGTTCTCCTGGGAACGCTGCTTCCATTTCAAAAATAAGGACCCTGGGAATAGAGCTCCCCGAGAGAACGAATTTTTTGTCCTTGTCAACGTAATCGAAAAGTGAACCAGAATGATAAAGATGCAAAGTTTGTTCACTCGGGGAGCTCTCTTCTCCCTGAGATTAGAATCAGGCCCCCTGGTAGATTTTCGGCGAATTAACGGCTGTTTCGTTCGAATCCCACACACTCCAATCGTTTTAATCTTCCAATGGTTCACAAATGTGGCATCGGTCCCGCTAGGATAAGTCGCGTATACCACTGTTTAGCAGGTTTCATCCACGATGTGTTAAAATTCCAAAGTACAGTACAAGCAAAGTTGAAGAAAGGGAGAACTTTTGTCGGTTAAGATACCAAAACTAATTTTACAAAAAAAAAAGTGGAAATTGAAATGACTGGAAATATTGTGTGTGTTAATTCGCCGAAAAGCTGCCAGGTGGGTTGGTTTTCTCAGTTAGTAGAGTTTCCGAGTTTCGTACTAGCAATGTGATGGAAGAGGGTTCGAATGCCGCACTAACTCCAACTTTTCAATTTTCCATTGAATTTAATCTCTATACATTTTCTTAGTAAAATTAGTTATGGTATCTTAACTGACAAAATTTCTCCCTGCAGTGTTCAAGTAAATTCAAGCCTCGAGATCTGAGAGGTCACCTGCGCAAAGACAGTCTCACCTAGAAATTCTAATCCCTGTGGTAATTAACATTCGCCAATCATGGGAGAATAAAGAGCTGCAACAGGTTCTGTCTACACATGAACAGAAATAATATCAGATTGGTGGTCGAAGTGCTCACCAGACAGTGCAGACACTGCCCAGTGAAATATCACTTATAGGCAATAGAAAAGCTAGAAGATATCAACTGCAGATTTTAAGAATCCGCAGCTAAAACCATAGAACATTTTCTCTGCGGTTATCCGGACCAACTCTCGAAAAGGCTCAAATACCTCCAGGGGGTACTTCACAACACCCCTAAGAGTTTGTCAACTATCCCTCAATCCCTCAAGGAAATAGCTTCCTTCGCAAAAAGACCCTCTTGGACACCAACTAAGAAAATAGCTACCTATGTGCCTTGAGAAAAAGCTGAAAATACTTCGATATTAAAATATATTTAGGTGCTTTCCTTTCTTTATGTATTTTGTAAAATTTAAGTAGCCCCCAGTGTTTATTTAAAATGTATTAAAAAGTTACTTTTTTTAAACATTTTTTTTTTCTTCTTATACCCCCTTTTAGACGCCACTGAACTAAATTTTCGAGTGTTAATATACTATACCACGTTTTTCTATTTGATTTTCTAAGGAGAACAAAAAAAACCGCATGCTTACATCATTAAAAGTGCCACGGCAGGAGAAAAATGACCATAAGCCCCCCGGCTATACTATAACACATACTTCTACTTTTCATTTGATCGAGAATATTGTGAAAGGGGTGGTTTAAAAGTAGGTATAAAAATAATAAGTTGTTTTTAGTTAGCCTGAAATATGTAATATTTTTAGAATTTACCAATAATTTATTAAAGTTGGTCGAAATCTCTAGGCGCTGACGTTCCAAATCACAAAAATATAGAATATAGGTGTGTCTTGAAATCCCTAAAACTCCTTCGAAATCATTCGAAATCACCCGAAATCCTCCGAAATCACCCGAAATCCTCCGAAATCACCCGAAATCCTCCGAAATCACCCGAAATCCCTCAAAATCGCTCTAAATCCGAAATCTTGTCACATTTTTCCCTTAGTGATTAACCCCTCGATTGGAACATATTTACCGTCCAATGTTTTTAGTTTGTCTTAGGCCCGAGTTACCCAGTTCCTCAATTCTTAATATTTGTCTTTAATTCTTAATTCTTAAAAAGTTCAATTTATTTAACATTGGTGTTTTTAAAGATTAAGAATTAAGAACAAAAATTAAGAATTAAGGAATTGGATAACCCCGGCCTTAGTTCTTCCAGAGGAAAAGATGCTTGATTTTGCCTCTAGAATATCTAAGAGTTACAGATTGATTTTGAGCCTCCCAGAACAACTTCCAGATACAAAATTCAAGTTGGGGAAAATTGTTTTTAATAAAATATTGTTCCATTTTGGTCGTGGAAGTTGTATTTTTGAGTAATTTGAGGGCAAAAAGGGCCTTTCACATAAGTTTCCAGACTTTAAGATTAGAAATTTAGAATTTTCTGCCTTATTTTATTTCAATTTTTGTCTATTACAGGCTCTTGAATTGATTTTTAATTATGAATTTTGAGCTTGTTAACTACAATTGAGAAACAATACAAAACTAAATATAGGGGGCCAACTTGAGCGAGCCTTTTTCCTCCATGTTGCAATTTGACAATGTTATTTGCACACAAATTTCAACAAAACCGAAAATAAATTATGACTTGCTGGAGCACTCTCCCAACTTGTTTAGACGTGCAAGCGATTTTTGCCGCAACCACATTCAGCAAATTCTTTGGAAGTACTCGCAGACATAATTTTGCGATAGTTCAAGTTGCTCCGTGTAATATAGATAAGAAAAATGTGAATAATCTTGAGATTATTGATACTCCACCAAAGTTATGATAATCTATAAACTCACCAACTAAAGACGCATCAAGTTGTTCCTCGGTAAAATTGTAGTTCAGTATTGCCAACAGCCTCAAACATTCTGTGGGGCCCTTGAAGCTGTCCGTAGACTGATTCTTCAGTGTTTGGAAGAAATTTTGAGGGTCTATGTCCATAATTTCGGCTTCTAGTTCATGTTTTAAAGCAAATAGGCCCTTTTTTCTGTGGGAAAAATGAACAACTTGATGATAGAGAAAAAAACGATAATAATATACAAAATTACATACCGGTTAGATTAATATATGCAAATTTTACGTTTTTTCTAATTTCCAAGATGCACAAAACAGGTAAAAACAGTTTGTTTATAAATAAAGTTAATCCAAACAAAAAACTAGAAAACATAACCTCAGAAAAAATCTTGAATGACTTGAATCCTCCTGGCGGCTAAAACTGTAAGCTTACAAAATAATAGCGAATTATATTGGAAAGGATAGTGCACACTGAGTGTCTTTTTCTACCAGCTTGTATAAGAAAGAGATAAAAATAAACTTTAATCAACGCTATAAGAAATCAAGAGACACTTGAAAGAGCGCGAAAATATCGGGGAAATTTTTAACTTTTTGCGTACCAATAGCTCGTACCAGTACCCCTAGTACCAGTACCAGTCATACTAAGGGCGGGTATTATAAAACTGCTTTGACAGTTAACTTGAAGTTAACTTTTTGAATTACATGTATTTTCAGAAGTTAACTTTAAGTTAACTCTCAAAGTAGTTTTATAATACCCGCCCTAAGTCGTACTTCGAAGACGATGTGGAAAAAGTGTCTACCAATAATTTATTGAACAATAACATAACTTGAGTAACATGGAGAATTAAATAGGCTTATCTAATTTTCAGTCTCTCATATAAATTTCATAAAACTCCCAAACTCTTCGCTATTATTCCGTCTGAACAGTTTTTCGCTGGTCAATCCAAATTCTTCACTTGTGGAATTTAGACTCATGGTCGGATTATCTAGTTCGTCCGAACGTTTGCGCACGAAAGTCCACGATTGACTTGTCTGAGTGTACTCAGCGGATTCTACCTAAAAATCAGTAACAACTGGTTACCTAATTGCAATTGAATCATCAGAAAATTGCTCTAGATAATCAAGTTAAAAAGTACTATTTGGGCTCTTTCAGACTAGCGACTCAGGATTGTTCCAGGCTGGAAAATCAATTCAAAATAATGCATGAGTCGCCAATCTGAAAAGCCCTCTCAAAGCAAACATTACTCGTTGAAAATTAAACATATTCTCCTCGTCATTCTGGCTAGGAGGTTGTCCAAAATTGAATTTGAACAACTTGTAATCTTTTTTGTCGGATCTTATAAATCGCTCAAACGTTTTGGCATTGCGATCGCTGAAAATGTTCATGTTGACCGAACTTGGCGGAGATACAAACGATTTCAAAAAATTCCCAGATGAAGATCTTGTTGCCTTTTTTTTCTCTTCAGGAATAACCTATTGAAAAAAAAAATCACATTAGTTTAAGCAAGTCTAGAAGTAAAATTGTTACCAGAACTCCTTCTTGGGTTTTCCTTATGGTAGCCAAACAAGTTGTTTGCTGTATTTGCTTTGGAGTAGGGCGTGGTGGTCTTTTTAAGCGTTCCTCCCAAACTCTAGCTAATTCCACAGAGCTTCCGCTACTTTCGTAGAATTTCTTATCCTGTTCGAAAAATTCGTCCCTTATGGCTTTCTGGCTCAATGCTGGATAACGTAGCAGCGGTGCCAATGATTTTTTCAAAGGTACACTTTCTACCACTTCATTATTCTCACTACTACGTTTTTTTAAAGGTGCAACGAATTTCTTGGTTTTTTTCTTAGTGGAGGACCTATTCAATTTCTCCAAATCTCTTTTTTTAGACGCACTTGATAAACTGGTGCTGGACGTTTCGACCTTCTTTGGGCCGCTAGAAGTACTGGTAGTACTGAAATCACCGTCCAAATTTCGCAGTTTTGAGGCTTCAGAAATACTTTTTTTTGAGTCGCTTGATTTAAGTGAGGGTGTTGATTTTTTTGAATTGCTTGATTCGGAACTAGGTTTAATTTTTTTTGAAGGAGTGAATACTTTTGGAGCTTTGCGTTTGACATTAATTTTGGATAATGATGTATTCACTTCTTCCATTCGGGAATAATGTTCTTGTGGCTTAGTAACACTTTCTTTGACATTGTTTGAAGATTTTTGTTCAGTATTTTTTCGTTTCAATATAATTTCTGAAATTAAATCAACTTTCTTTGAAGGAATTATTGGTTCTTTTGCATTAGGAGTGAAACATTTTTCAGTGCTTCTATCAAAATCTGTATCATAGGTTTGATATTGTATGGAATCTTCTTCACCCATTAAAGAAACATGGGGAAAAAGTGGATTGGTTAGGTGAGACTCCAAATCAAAGTCTGAAATTTAGACATTAATAAATTTTTTTTTAAATGAAACTAAATCTTACCAATAGTTGAGTTTTTGTGTTGCATATCTTGACCATCTTGACCTGAAAATATTTCTATGACTTCATCAATTCTCTTCAAGTTTTCGTTTCTTTTATTTTCCTCTATTGTTTCTTTATTTTTAGGAATTTCTTCTTGTTTTTTTAATTCTTTGAATCCTTCATTATCATTGCGCTTATTTTCGCCTTCATCTTCAATGATTTCTTGAAAAGAAGAATTTTCAATTTAGCCAAAAAATCAATTAAAACCTACCATGATTTGCACTAGAGTCATCTTCCCTAGGCACGAAAGGTGAATAACTAATACTTCCTTGAGTTATTATTGAGTCACTAGTATGTTTTGAATCAGAATTTTTTTCCTTTTCTGCCTCATCTTCAGTAGTATTATTTTCTTCTTGTTGGTTTACTGTACAAGCAGCTTTCGTGTCTTCCTCCATTAATCCGCCATTTCGAGCTTCAAAATTTACGTCAAAGTCGTTTTGTTTGTCGCCTTTAATTGAATCCTCAGTTTCTAGATTATTGACGGCCTCAATAATTTCATCAGTATCATTAGGCGGCTGGGCGTATTCGTCAAAATTTGTATCAGATTCTACTTGTTCACTTTGTCCTTTTTCTTTAGTAATTTCTGGTTCATCTAATCTACTTTCAATAATAGGTTGTATTGGACTCATTGATACATGTAGATTTCTTAGGATTGGTCTAACTGTTGTACCTTCATCTACAAAAATGTGTTATAACTATACAATCAACTTTTGGAATGCTGAAATATTGATATTTGTTAACAAAAAGCAGTTTATTCTGTAACATAATAATTAGGATCTCAATAATTATATCTATGTATATCTCACCATTGATATTAGTATCATCTTTAATAGATTCTTCTGATATTGCACCTGGGCCTAGCTTTATACGAACTCTTGGGAAAATATCCAAGTGTTTTAGTTTGGTTTGAGTTTTTGTCACCTCACTAGAAATGTCTATAAGAAAAATAATACAAAATTAAACAAATATTTAATGAGTTTAAAGGGGGAGATAGAAGTTTTAAATTTTTTGGATAGAAGTAGGTATAGGTATAGGAAAAAAAATATTTAATTTCATAATTTATTTTATTTGTTCATCAACGTAACTTACATTATAAATTTCAAATAAATATTAGTTCCTCTAGTTCCATACTTTGTAGGAAAATAAAATAAAGTATTTACAATAGTTTAACTAAATCACATTTTCAATGGTAAAAATAAATTAAAGCAAATAGGGGTTCATTCTAACAGGATATCTCTCTTCTTTATATTTAAAGAAAAGCATCCTCTGTCTCTTTGAATTTTGAAAAGAAAGTTTCATGTGAGGAGGGCAGTATTTTCAAGTTGAAATATTTGTATTCCTTTGCATGACATCTTTTCTCTTATACAAATAATTTTCAATAAATAAATAACCTTTAAAAAATCCAATTTCCAGCAAATCAGATGCAAAAGGAATAAAATTATACCAACTATTAAATCAAATTAGTTCAAAAGCCTCAGATTCCAAATCATCAATATTGCTACTGGAACCATTAAAATAATCAAAATCATTGACAGCATACTCAGCATTATTACTAAATCCATCACAGAAAGTAAACATAGGATAATCACCTGCGCCACTAGGAGGCACAACAATTGGTTGTACAGTTGCGACAAGATTCAGAAAATCTTCTTTACTTCTACAGTAAAAACCAATACAACAAGACGGATCTATTTTAGTTATTGGCAATTTTCTAGGAGATCTACAATGAAAGGTTGCCAAAGGAAAATCGGAAGCCCAAACATCCACGACTTCTTGACAATAATGCGGATCCAAATGGATTAATTTATCATCTTGAAATCCTATAAAGTACAATGAATGTTTGGGCCTTCCACCTATAATCCCTATACATTCTTTCAAGCTAAACAAAGTAGTCAAACAAGGAGAATAAATAGAATTAAATTTTTCAACTCCTAATCTAACTGGTATAAGTAAAATTAAAGATTTCCACCTGTTTGTAGTTTGATCAATACACTCTTGAAAAATATCTCTAATGTATACAGTACAATTTTGAGCTACACAAATATTTAAGTCATCAAATTCAAAGTTGTCTTTTGTAGCATCCTTAAAGGCTTGCCGAAATAGGTGAGCTACAAGTCCAGGTCCGTACCAGTCACCAGGTTTTTTACCAAGGCCCTCACCAATTCTCACTAAACTATGCAATGAAAGAGGACTATTCCTGGAAGGTTTATCACCAAACCATTTAATGATTTTTCTATGATAAAGCGCTGTTTCCTTATATTCAGTATTATACCTCCATTCTCTGCCCAAAAAATTAAGTACCAATGCCTGGGCTATAAGCATCTGTCCACTTCTAATCATACAACCCCAACCACAATCACTACTGTATGTAGAACTGTTTAAAAGAGGAAACTCTCTACGATAAGTCAACCATAGTTTGCTAATAAAGTCTTTTCTAAAGCCTTCCAAGCCTTCTTCTTCATTGGAAGCTAGATCTGTTGAATTTTGAAAAGCTGCCACATCTGTACCTAATTCTGTAGACTCGCTTTCTAGTTTTCTGTAGCACATTCCCAGTAGCCAAACGGGAGATTCTTTGGAAAAATTCGGTTTAAGTTTCATGCCTACAGAGTTTAGTTCAAATTTCATGTTGTTCCACATCGATAAGAATCGGGTTTTCACCTTGCCTTCCACATCGGTGCCATTGTCCTGCTGGATATTGATAGTCGAGCCGCTCGAAGGTGACGTACTCAATTTTGGAAGGAAAAATGTTTTGGTGCTTTGTCTAGTGGAAGCTATTTGTGTATCCATAGTTTACTTTGTTCTTATTTCACTAATTTTGAACATTATTATTGCACTTTGATATGGATTATTTTGTAACATGGGGAATTAAACTTTGCACTTGCATTTTTTCTTTTAGAAAGTAATGAAGAATTCCATAATAGACACAACACAATTTTCTTTATTGTTTATTTTTAGGATTTTTGTTGTGACAGATGAGTGGGAAGTAGGAGTGGCTCCAATTGTCACTGACGTCATTGTCACATATGTTATTTTTTAAGGCTTGTTTACCCTGAAAATCTTCACAGGGTTTTGCATAACGCAAGAGCATTAGTTCCAGCTAACTGTGTTTAGGTTGTTACATGCGTTATCGTTATGCAAACGCGTGTGTAACGGCCTTTAGAAGCGCTATCGGCCTCGTACCGGAAATAATGCTCGGTATAGATTTTGATAAGAAATCGAGTGGATCACTAGATGACGCTACGGTAGTCAATTTATATTTAATTACCTACGAGCGCGCGGTAAAGTGCACTTTCTTTACCACACTTATTTGCGAGTGGAAAGTAGCACTTTACCGTAAAATATGAGGTAAAGTTTGTATTATAAGATATGAATGTTTTTTCATATTGAAGTAAGTACTTCTACTCAATATGAATCTTTTTTATATGTCACAGTCTCACCGACACGTCTTCAACAAGATTGATTTGATACTTGATGACGCATCTGGGGTGCCTTGTGGAGATTTGCATTATGTTGAGGAATTCCAGATGACGTCATAAAGTTATCAGGCTACCTCTCTCAAACAACCTTGAATTTAGTCTTTATTTGATCCCCAATATACTGGAATGGTGCATAAAAAATAGCTGTCGTCTATGGATGCCGTCCATTTTGAAATTTTTGCCAATAAGGGAGCTCATCTATTCACAATCTGATATCCAAAGGTAAAGGTAAAATTTATCACCTTCCAGTGCTATTTGATAGGGAAAGGTGCTAAATTTACCTTTACCTTTGGACTACGGATTGTGAATATGATATATACAGTGTGTCCCGCTTAAGGACTGACCACCCTTCTAAAATTTTTATTTTTCAACCGATTCAATTCATTTTTTTTTGTCTTATAGCTACTCAAATTTGGCACTTATTAGGCTCATAATTTTATTTCTGCGGCTGTACTGGTGTACAGGGTGTCCACATTTATAGGCTCAAATTTTAATAAGTACTATTAGGGATTTTTTTAGAAAAAATCTGATAGTAGATTCTTCTTTAAAATGGTCTAAAACCCTAATGTACTAATTTTTGTTCCAATAGGATACAGGGTGATAACAAAAAATGTCCACAATTTAATGAAATCAACCACAAAAATGTTATATATATGAGACAAGCTTACTACAAGTTTTGGTTAAGGATGTTCTGAAAATATGTTGTATCAAGTTTTGTAGTCCTCAAGGCCTCAAAATATGAAATTTTATCGGTTTGGTCCATTAAATTGTGACAAAATTTGAGATGTTACGAAGAATAAACATTTTGGTAGCGTGAATAATTCTGTCACATCTTAGTTTGCGTGGGTACCATAATTATGCTGTAATTAAATTTATTCTGAAAAGGGATACCAAATTTTCTGAACCGGAGGCAATCCAAACAAAACCTTATTTCTCTTCTTCTTCGGTTTTGGTTAGTGCAAAGGGTTATAAATTCAAGAAGACTTACCTTTTTATTGCCAATGTTGCTTCTCTTCTCAAATGCACAAACCGGCACGAAAGAACTTTTTACGCGTCCACCAGTGTTTTAGAGGGAATTTTAAAACCAGAAAAGAAAAGAGTAATTTTGAAAGAATAAACTAATTTATTTATAAGCGAAAAGAAAAGTCAGTGTTAATTATTTAGTGATAATAAAAAAAAAGGTTAAGTAAAATATAAAAAAAGAACAAAAAAAAAAATTACCTTATTTAAGACCATAATTAATTTTTAACTGAAGAAAAATTAAAGACAATTGAAAGCAAAGAGTAATTTCCCAATTAAAAGGTTTAGTTCCCAAATCTGATTCTTTATTGGAATTGAAATTAAAAAAAATAACAACTATCACCTCTTTGGAGAACTTCTACTAAAACACAGGGCGGCAGAACTAGATGATGAGAAACGGATCGAGAACTCGTTGAAACTTTGCGACTTAAATTTCCAGCGATCACTCGTAGTAAAAACTAGTTGCGAATTAGCGATAACTCCAGTTATGTGGCCTCTACATGTGCTTAAATAGGCGAAAGGAATTACCCTCTGGGTACCACTTTAGAAGCCCATTGGCTCCCCTCCGTACCCGGCTTGCTAGAATCGAGGATCTCCAACCCTCTTAGCTTTCAGCGATTCGCTGAGAGTACCCTTTGGTTTCTTGCCGTGTTCCCATTGGTTCTCATATTGTTCATTCTATTTGCACCCTTAGTGATATAGTTTGAAAGCCCTCCAACAGAGTTCGCTAGTCATATGGGAAATATAATTTCGATAACTGCAATAACTGTTTTCCCCTTAATTGGAAAATCCTACATTCTATATGCTTTCTTTTAACCTAGTCAAACAGTTTCTTTGTTTTATAATTATTATATACAGCCTTTAATATGACAGAGCTCATGATAATTATATAATATTCTTCTCAAGATTCCATCTGAATGTAAAATGCTTTAGACAGCAATAATATCCCAAGAAAATATTAGTAAACTAATTTTATAAATGTTTCACATAGCGCTAATAAAACAATTTTATAGATGTACGTCAACTAATGAACTAGTATCAGATAACATCAATATAAATCTAATATAAAACAGATTTGTTCGGTGAGCTAAAATGTCATATAAAATCATTGTGCAAACGTTCATAAAACAATATTAAAACTTGTTACCGAACTGTTTTGTATTTTTGCTCCAAGAACGTTCTTACGACTACCTTATAGAGCAGAATACTTTCTTGGAAGCTTAATTATCTCGCTTGCAATTTTAATAAAACAAATGGCATTCGACGAGCAGTAATAAACTAATTATAGAATAAAATAGCAGCGGAGAGTTAAAAATTATAAAATATAATTGCTAGTTGAGGTGTTAAATGAATTAAATTATTCTATACTTAAATACTAATTTATGCCTAAAATAATTGGATAGTTAACTATCTCCTTTGATTTTCCTATTCTATACAAT